AACTCCAGATATGACGTCATATTTTAGTAACTAGTACCGTCATAGCTGGCATATTATGAACAAACGACACCCAAGAGATTTAAGAATGTGTCATTAGGTTATAAATCAGAAGGAAAGCTTCTATTTGAGCTGCGAAAACAGTCAATCCGAACGATTGACAACCCAGTCGGTCATAAATTTTTTATTGATTAGAATGACTAAAAATGGTCGCTCAAAAATGAAATTGAAAATACAATTGGATGAGCTATGCCCACCTGTAGCCAAAAGACGAAAGATAACCTTGAAAAATGACAGATTTTTGCAATATGAATTTTAATCACAAAGAATGTAATTCACCCCTAGTTATTTCTGTGGGATTTGCGAAAAAATAGAATCATCTAACGTTTCCATTTTGTGGCCTAATTAGCAAACGATACATTTTTTAAAAATAGAACAAAAAAGGTTCGTCATCAATAAGTAAAGCTCCTAAATTTTACAGTGTTCGCTCTAAATTGGTCTAAACTGCAAAGCAAAAAAATGCACCAGTTGATGGTGACACCGGAAATTTTTTAAAATAAACATTTTAACTCATTTGATCGGTCAGTGAAAAAAAAAGAAAAAAATTTAAAAAATTAGAGACTGGATTAATGTGACTTAGTTAAACATTAAGCAGCATCAAGTTGCTAATGAACAGTATTCTGCAGGAAGCCACATGAAGGTTATTTCGGGAAAAATTGAGCCAAAAGCCTGGTAAAAATCTTTATTAGGCAACAAAGGATATATGGAACGCTAAGAATTTGACTGCAAAAACGTTGCAATTCGATTTTTGCTACAAGGTTTTCGAAAAATTTCAAAAGTGATAATTTGTATCAAATCTTTTTTACCTTTGGTAACGCTTTTTTAGATCTTGTGATTTTTTATATCATTTTTGAAGTCCATCCGAGGACACAGGGTCTCCGATTGTTGCACGAAAATCAAGATAACCTTATGGACCTGAAAAATTTGAGCAAGACAAGCTATGTTTTTTTTCCCGAAAAATGAGTGACATGAAAAGCACAGTTCATTCTAACATAAACTATAGTTTTCCATTAATAAAAATTTTTGCTTATTTAAATTGCCTAAAATACTTAGAAGAACGATCGAATTTTTTGGTGCTTGAATGGCTCACATACATAGTCAGGCATGAACAATTTTTTTAATTTATATAAAAAAAACAAATTATCCCGATTTTTTTTGTCAATCACTCAAAAATTACTAAGTAAAATTTCGTTCAAAAGGTTTAACGATGACGATATTGTGAGCAAACTTGAATTTTCCTAGACAGATTTTTAACGATGTAATCGTTTGCAATTTTAATTGTCATTTTTTTCAAATTAACCTTATTAAAACCAAACTTGATATTAATTGATTTTCCGAGCCAACTTTTACTCAGTCCCAAATTTTAATTGCAACAGGGAAGTGGTTTCAATTCTACATGGTTTGTGACGTTGATGTTTTCTACCGCTTAAACATCAATAGACTCCTTAAACAGTCACTTCCATAGAAATAGAACAACACCCTTGACCTAAATTTGACTGCTCTACTTGTAAACATCTACGTATGCTACTCTACTTTGAATTTTTTTGCGAATTGAAAACAAAAAGAAAGAAAAAAGAACGAAAATTTATCTAGACTTTTAAATATGATACCATTTAGAAAAAGGGTAGTTTACGCAGCGAAATTAAAGCAGCGTTGGCCCTAATCTAACACACCGGTTGAAGTTGTCCAATAATTGTTAATCGAAACTCAGATTTTGTGCTCGGTTATTTCGAAACGCTTGCAGTACACTACTTGACTTTCACTTGTTGCCTGCTGGCAAACCCAGAAAAAAAAGATTTCATCAGATATCCTTGAAAACTCAACGCGCTAGGAGCAAGCCTACCACGATTCTACTGACGATGTTGAATTCTGACGCTGAGTTTTAGCAAATCTGTTTGATTTTTCAACTTGCCATATTGATCCCTAATTGTCCTCAAACAAAATCAGTTAAACGGAAATTGATTTCTCCAAAAACTCCAAAAAACTATAATGAAGAGGAAATCCGTTGAAACTTTAGTATAAAACGATAACTATTTGCTTATGATTTTCTTTTTACTTATGAGCGGAGAAAAAACAATTAAAACAAATTTTAAAAGTTAGTTACTGTTTCCGCTCCCTTGTCTATCAAAAATTGTTATGCTTCTGATTTTTTTTTCTAGGGATGATACCGGCTAAAATAAGCCCCAGAAACGGTGACCAGAAACTGGTCCCAAAGTCTACATTTTTGATATTATTTGATTTTCCGAGTCAACTTTTACTCAGTCCCAAATTTCAATTGCAACAAAGAAGTGGTTTCAGTTCTACATGATTTGTGACCTTGATATTTTCTACCGCTTAAAATTCAATGGACTTCTTAATTAGTCACTTCCATAGAAATAGAACAACACCCTTGACCTAACTTTGACTGCTCTACTGGGAAATATCTACGTATGCTACTCTACTTTGAAATTTTTTGCGAATTGAAAACAACAAGAAAGAAAAAAGAACGAAAATTTATCTAGACTTTTAAATATGATACCATTTAGAAAAAGGGTAGTTTATGAAGCGACATTAGAGCAGCGTTGGCCCTAATCTAACACACTGGTTGAAGTCGTCCCATAATTATTAACCGAAACTCAGATTTTGTGCTCGGTTATTTCGAAAGGCTTACAGTACACTACTTGACTTTCACTTGTTGCCTACTAGCAAACCCAGAAAAGAAGAATTTCATCAGATATCCTTGGAAAATCAACGCGCTAGGAGCAAGCCTAATAAGATTTTACTGAAGATGTTGAATTCTGACGCTGAGTTTAGCAAAGTTGTTTGATTTTTCAACTTGCCATATTGATCCCTTATTGTTCTCAAACAAAATCAGTTAAATGGAAATTGAATTCTCCAAAAATACCAAAAAAAATTGATGAAGAGGAAATCCATCGAAACTTTAGTATAAAACTATAACTATTTGCTGATGATTTCCTTTTTACTTGTGAGCGGAAAAAAACCAATTGAAACAAATTTAAAAATTTATTTATTTTTTTCCGCTCCCTTGTCTATCAAAAGTTGTTATGCTTCTGCTATTTTTCTAAGGATGATGTTGGCTAAAATGAGCCCCACTAATGGGGACCAAAAACCGGTCCCAAAACCTATATCAGACAAAATCTTTGCAAACCTTGATTTGTTTGATGATGAATGTACGCAAAAATTGTTTGCTTTTTTCAATCGAGTTTGCTTTTTGGTCCTTAATTATTCCCAACCAAAATCAATGCGTCTGGGTTTTGATCCAATTAGTCGAACCAATGACACTATTTTGAAAAAAAAAGAAAGTCCATTGAACTTATCGTAACTGTGTTTTGTTATCATTATTTGTTGTGCTTCGTTTTTTTGAATAACTCCTTATTTTAAGAAGAGATATGGGCTGAAATGGGTGCCAGCAGTGTCATTTCTTCTTGTGGTTTTTCCACTTGGGGTGTTCTAAAACAACAGTTGGATTTTAATCAAAACAACCAATGGTTATCGCAATAAAACTTTTGAAAATTAGAAGTTAAAATGAACTTGCCCGGGTTGAGCTCACATTGAAAATTAGCTATAAAAAAGTGGAAAAAAAACAGCGATCCCCATCGATAAGTTATCGATGCTCATTGCCACAATAGCAAATTTAATCGATAATTATCGCTAATTTGGCTTATTTTCAGCGATGAAACAGCAATAGAAAAACCTAAAAATTTTGAGCAAAAATTTTGCTGTATCAGGGGTGCGATCCCATAACCTGCAGATTTCTTGATATGTATGCTTCCCCTAAGCTATCAATCCTTATACCAATTTAACTAAGACTCTCATTTGAAGTTAAAATTTCTTAAGTTTTAGCGATGATTTTCTACGGAATCATTACTGAAATAGCTCTGAAAAATCGCAGGTTTAATATGCAACAAACTCTGAGTTATACATGAATCAGCGCTGGAAAATAGCGATCACTGTGATACTACAGAAAAAACGATAATTAACGGTGGGACTTCAACCCGGGTGGTTAAGCTGAAGCTTTTTTTTTTCAGCTTCCATATACGGTATTTATGCATAATTTTGACGAGTACACTTCCGAAGGTGTAAGAAGGTGATTTTTTATTATATGTGTCTCTCTGGAATATTTTCCTTATACCCTGTTCAACGTCGAAAAAGTTCGATGTTGCGACTCAAAATCGCAGTCCAGAAACAAGTTAACAACCATTCAAAATTGAAATCTGATTAATCAAAATATTTAATTTCAAACATTTAAAAAAATTTTCTCACCCAGTTTCAAAAACTTACCTGAAGAATTTCCTCTCTGAGACAGCTGTGAAAGGCAGAAAATTATCGGCGTGAATAAAAAATATACTAACTACTCACAGTATTAGTGCCAGAAAACTTTATATTATGCTTATATTTTTAAATTTAAGCCAAGCACAAAGTCGTAACTAAACTGAATTATCTCGAGAAGTTAAAACATAGGTCGAGCACAGAGTCGTGTTTGAGGTGACTCTGTTTTTATTAAACAAAGGTTGAGTTCTTTTTAAAGTTTTTGTTACTCGATTTTTTAAAACTAATATGTATATATTTTAAAACTGAAATTGAGCATAAAATTTGTTCAGAAATAAACATTGTCAGCCCAATTTGAGTATCGAGTAGCTCGAACCATTTTTTGCTTTATGAATCTAAAATATAAGAAGGCAATTCATTTTTGTTGCTTTGGGAGCCGGTGATTTTTCCTTAACTCCATATCATTATATACAATCGAATGGACTTGCTGAAACTCAATTAACTAAAGATCCAATTTGACTTCAACTTCGAGGACTTTTTGCTTTGAAATCAATATTTGCTGGTGCCACCGAATCAAAAGTTGATTGAGTTGCAGTTTTGAAAGTAAGCAAATTGTTGTCCCAAATATGTTTGTCAAATAGTGGGTCATGTTTAATGTAATGTTTCTCCATCTTTGAAAACAAATAATACATTCTCGAATGGTTTTAACATTTGTACCATAAGTTCATTGAAGAAACGTTAAGAACAATTGCTCAAATTGCTTTTTTACCTTGAGTATAAATTGTCAATGATGAACTATGGCTATTTATTTCAGTTTTTCTCACTTTCTTTGTTATTACACTTATCATTTCAGGACATTTATAGGGTCAAATTGCGCACCCGCTGTTCGGCTAGGGTAAAAAATTGTCCCCTTAAAAATGCCAACAAAACTTCTCCTACTAAGCCAGACGGAGAAAATCCAGTGTTCGAGGTCAAGTCGTTCCTGAGAAGTCAAATTCACCATCAGGTGGCAAAATTAGCGAAGAAAGCAAACGAATCACACGTTGTCCCCCCTCATGATCGATCGTTCAACGAAGCGCTCAAAAATTACATCAACGTAAGTAGAGTAACAATTGAATTTAACTTATTGCAAAAAAAACTTATTCTATTCAAAAAATTATATTATAATTTTGGTTCGCGTCTGGCACCTGAGCTGGGGTGAAAATGAATGGAACATCGCAATCGATTTATTCAGTTCAGACCAGGAGAAGATCTGAGATTTTCTCGAGGGAGGAGGGAATTTTCATTTTTTATAAATTTAGTCGAACTATTTTTTCGACCAATTGATTTTCCGATATCTCCCAAGTCACAGTAAAGAAAAGTCGGGATACTGCTTTTGAAAACCAGCAAAAACAAGACGTTTCAAGGCTTTTTTTTAATCTTTCGCGTTTTTTCGGCGGCGTTTTCCCTAAAAAACTATCATATATAATGCCGCCAAAGACGCCTTTAGAAAAACTTTAGGGTCGGTCAACAAAAGATGGATGTCCTTAATTAGTACTAAGTGAAGCCACTTTTGAGTCATCAGTGGCTCGAATCTGTCACTCATCCCTCCTTCTTATTTTGCTACTGTTGCCAGTGATTTTCGGATCATTTTTTAATTTAAAATATAATAAGACTGCTCTGCTCGTATATCAGGGCAAAGCCCTGAAAGTTCGACTTCCACTTAATCTATATCGAATAGTTTTTGGAAAACTATCAAAAAACTGTGAAAAACTATAAATTTCGGACAATATCAACGACCAATTATGAAAATTTTGGCCGTACTAAAAAAAATACGCTAGAGTTTATTCAATTTGGAACAATTTTGTTGCGCGTGCACAAAACTTTGCAAAAAAAATTGGAGGTAAAATATCTTTTTAAATTTTATTTTAGTGAGTCGATATATTTAATGGGGTTAAAATAATTTTTAACTTTTATTTCGATTGCCGAAAATTGACTGAAAAAAAATACCACATCGAGCATAAATATTCCGTTTTCATCGAAAGTTGGAACAAAAATCTAAATTTGATTGTGATAGTTCAGCATAGAGAGTTAGACATAATGTCTGCTTGAGTTGTCAAATCTGGTAACTTCAAAGACTGCTAGTTTTTTATGCCCTATAAAAGCAAGCCAAGGAAGCAATTTGATCAAAAAAATTCAAATTACAGAAAACTTAAATATAACACATTATAAAATTCAGCTTGAATAAAAAAAGATTCTTCCAAAAATGCAAAACAGTCAGTGGGAGGATATAGAAACTAAATAAAAATATTGTACAAAATTCACATAAGCAAGAAAGATGCGTAATCAATCTTTCACAAAAATTCACATAATCAATGCGTATCTGTGAAAAAGTGTTTTCTTTCCGAATTACGATGAACGCAAAATACGTAAGCACTTGTGTCGTTTCTAATTTTCAAACTACTTTTGGCAATCAAAGGAACAATTTTTAACAACAACTTGTTGTACCCTCAAACTTACAAACAAGAAATATTCAAAAAAAATGAAAAACTTTCGATATTTTCTGCAGATTCAAAATCATCCCCACGCACGTCAATGGAACTACAAAATAAGATATCTCACATTCATTTGCAAAGTATTAAATAGACCCAATAGCATTTCGAATTAAATAGACCCTATAGCTGTTTACACGTAAATAGCACGAAACAAAGCGCGGTAATTATAAGTAGTTCGTCTTTTTGTTCGAAGGTCGGAACAACAAAACGACCAATTAGCATGCCTAATTATTCCGACTTTCGATACGAAAGTAACGGAATATTTGTGCTCGGGATGGGTTTTTTTTTTCTTCAGACAAATTTCGACTTTTTAACTAGCCATTTTCGACGGAATTTTTTAATATCATTCGAAAGCTATTGTTGTCCTGAGCTCAAATTTGAAAAGATATTTCACCTGTGATCATTTTTCGTAAAGTTATGGGGGTTTAAAGATTGCCATTTTGGCCAATTTGGGACAATTAACGATATATTTTGCGCTATTAACGCGTAAGCGGAGATTTAATCCGTCTTAAAATCGTTCCAAATTGGTTGAAAGAAGCTTATTTGCCATAATTGATTTGTTACAAGGAGCTAAATCTATCTTTTTGTACTTTATATGGCGTGTGGGGGGATGATTTTCTTTAAAAATTTTCAAATTTTAGAAAAAAAAATTTTTCATTTTATTTTATTACATTCAATTTTTTGATGTTATTACTGCTCCATAAAACCTTAAAAGGCAGTCGGAACATTCAGGGCTTCGCCCTGATACGAGCAGTCTTGTTTGATTTTGGAACAACTTTTGTGCGGCCTTATGCGTCGTGTTACGCTTTCAGCAATATTTGAGCGGTCACTTTGCATTATGTTCTTTGCACTCCAATCATTTATATTCCTCACTTTCTTCGAAAGACAAAAAAATATATAAAAAAATATTTTCGTGAAACTCGATTTGTTTTTTTTGATAAAACAGCGTAACAACTAAAACTTTTAGCATACTCCTTTCAATTTTTTTATGAATAAATGCCAATTTACTCTAAGTTCTACGAATAGTCTTCCTTTAATTTTTTCAATCCATGAATCAGTTTCAGACGAATTTGATCTAACAATCTTTCAAATTGTAATAAAGAAGAAATTTTAAGCAAACTCGAAATTCAACTGGGAGTTCTGCGGTTCTTGAAACCGTTTTGAGTTCTCCAATGTCTTATTATCAGCAGTTTTTGATAGAAATTTTAATTGGAATTTTCCAAATCACTTGATTGGTTGTGTCAAGTTCAAATTGGACGGGAAAAGGAACGCAAAATGCTCATCTGTCATTTTATTATCAACTCTATGGATGACACATGCGATTCAACAACCCAGTCTTGCTAACTAAACATACTTGTTCATTTAGACTAAAGCTTAATCTGTGTAAATATTTTTTATGAGAGGCGAAAAAATCGTGACATAAAACTTGATTTTTTTTCTAAAATAATTTAAGATATTTTTTATACCGTAAAGATCATAGCAGTAAGCTGATTTGAGATGGTGATAATATATTATAGTAATTTTGAGTTTTTTCAAAAATTATCGCCCATGCAAAATGTTCTATTTTTTCGAGTGTTTAAAAAGAATTTTGTGTTTTCTATGAAGTGTTAAGCATATAGTTTTTGAATACTCTTTAAGTAGTCGGCGATGATGCGTTGATTAATGCAGCGAGCCATAATTTTTATGCTGAGCGAAACCGTATGTTAAACGGTATTTTCCCACTTAATTCTTTTGGACCCATATGTAAACTCTTTTGACAGGGCATTTGAGCCGATTCAGATCCCCAGAGAGTTATAAACCAACTAGAGATAACAAGTTAATCTGCTCTATTCAGCCTAAAAGCCCGAAATAGTACCGGCCACATTTTTGCCCGCCAGCCATTTTTACTTAGATGAAGACGGTCTTAATTGATCCAGCTTTTTTCTGGAGAATTGAATCGAAGCTTAAATACACATCATAGCATGCGTGCACATTTAATTTATCGTTCTTTTGATGTCGGTGTTTGTTTACCTTGACTTTGTTGTTTTTTCCTCCATAAAGCGTTCTTTGTGGTTGTCTGATAGATTAAAAACGCCTTCCTGTTTTTGAAATATTCAAGTGCGATTACAAAGAGTTTGAAATACGTCGACTAAACAGTTGTATATGAAAGGAAGCCAATATAGAAGCGTGTCTTCTGTAATTGTTGATGGCATGTGGATAATGTCTTTGAAATGTGACCTTTGATTATTTTCTCTTCTTCAAGCTTCAAATGGAAGGTTGAATGCTGTTTTACAGCAAATGGGAATTGTCTTAAGTATCTGGAGGGTTGTTTCAGGGCATCCAATTTGCAGGCGAAACTTAACATGATGCTGAAGTTGAAAAAAATCATCACAGAAAGTCACTGCTAGAACAGTTGAAAAGCTTAAATGAAGGCGAAAATTGGAACTTAAGTTTGCTTTCATTCAAACAATTTTTGCTTTCATCCAGATTTTGTTTATGAATTAATAAACTCATTCAAGTCAACATATTAATTCGCATCACACCAAAATAGATATCGGTTGTTTCGCAATATCGTGAAAAAACTATCAATGATCATCAGGGTTGAAATTACATGGCAAAACTCAAATGAACTGCTTTTGTTGCTGTGCTTTAATACATGTTAGCAGTAGCGGGTTTAAGTTGGATGTGGGGGGGGGGGGGGGTGATGGGCACGTTCTTTTTTTCAGATATTCGACCCCCTGCCGACCCAAAAGGCCCCCTTGATACAGTTTGGAGATATCGATTTTTGGCTGACTAACCCTATAACTTGTCTAAATGTGCCTCCGGTGCCAATACAGATTAATTTTGAGGAGAAGCGCGCTAAAATTTTCTAAATAGTGGCTAAAAACGCTTTTTTGCCCTGTTTTTTTTAATCAAAATTCTGCTCACGACGCAGAAAATTTGGTCAAAATACGAAAGATCTACCGATAGTTGAAGTTATGCTCAAACACTTTATTGTTCCGACTTTCGATACGAAACTAACGGAATATTTGTGCTCGGGGTGGGTTTTTTTTTTCTTCAGACCAATTTCGACTTTTTAACTAGCCATTTTTGACGGAATTTTTTTTTATCATTCAAAAGGTATTGTTGTCCTGAGCTTAAATTTGAAAAGATATTTCACCTGTGATCATTTTTTGTAAAGCTATGAGGGTTTAAAGATTGCCATTTTGGCCATTTTGACCAATTTGAGACAATTAACGCGCGATATAATTCGCGCTATTAACGCGTAAGCGGAGATTTAATCCGTCTTAGAAATCGTTCCAAATTGGTTGAACGAAGCTTATTTGCCATATTTGATTTATTACAAGGAACGAAATCTATCCTTTTGTACTTTATATGGCGTGTGGGGGGATGACTTTTATTTTAAAAATTTCAAATTTAAAAAAAAAATTCATTTTGTTTTATTACTTCTAATTTTTTAATGTTATTACTGCTCCATAAACCTTAATAAGCAGTCGGAACATTTAGGGCTTCGCCCTGATACGAGCAGTCTTGTTAGTGTTTTGTTCTGTTTCAATAGCGTTAATTGCGGATTATTGTCACATTTTCGCGTTAAATTGACAAAAATTATGGCTTAGATAATTAGATGATTTCTGAGGCTCAATTTCAACGATTTTGGGTCAGTTTCCCTTGTTATCTGGAAACGAGTTCAGTGTATCATTAGCACTTTCTGGTCCTAATCGTGAATCGATTTAAACATCAAATAATTAACTAGAAGTGTTAATTTTGGGACAAAACGGCATAGGACAAGTTGTCATATGGGGCAAGTTGGCATAGGACCAGTTGTCCTGGGGCAAATAGTCCTGACACCGATGAGGCAATTGTGAAGTGAAAAGCAAGACTTTGCACACATGGAAAACAAAAGAAAGAGCTCAACGTTAATTCGGGCAAGCTGTTTTTTTTTCAGATTTTTTGGTAAAATAAAGCTTGAGTCTCATCTTCGCATGATATTTTATTCTTTCCTACTTAATTGAATAAAACAAGTTTCTTTGTCTGAAAAATGTTCATTTGACAATTATAACATTAGATTTACAGAAATTTTATATGGTAAAATCCTCGAGGAATTGAGCCAAAACACGTAAATTTCCAGACCAGTTCTTCTTAAGACTAAAAAAGATTTCGAATTAATATTTACGCATGCATCAAATGGCTGCAAAGCATTTAATGTGATCTAACTTTTGATCATTGTTGAGTTTATTTTGCAGCAAAAAAATGTATAGAAAAACGTCAGCGTAAATTTTTTTTCACAATTTGTGAGAGTGGTCGGAACAAAGAAGTAAAATTTTGCCAAATATGTACTTATCAAAATGAGTTTTCAAAGTTAAAAAAAAAATAACGAGAAAACCAATTAGATGAATTAAAGAACAATTGGTTTTTTAAAGTTGCAATTACAGTCTGAAATCTTTAATTTTTTGTTCCGACTTTCGATACGAAAGTAACGGAATATTTGTGCTCGGGGTGGGTTTTTTTTTTCTTCAGACAAATTTCGACTTTTCAACTAGCCATTTTTGACTAGTCATTTATATCATTCAAAAGCCATTGTTCTCTTGAGCTTAAATTTGAAAAGATATTTCACCTGTGATTATTTTGCGTAATGTTATGAGGGTTTAAAGATTGCCATTTTGGCCAATTTGGGACAATTAACGCGCGATATATGTCGCGCTATTAACGCGTAAGCGGAGATTAAATCCTTCTTAGAAATCATTCCAAATTGGTTGAAAGAAGCTTACTTGCCATCATTGATTTGTTACAAGGAGCAAAATCTATTCTTTTGTAGTTTATATGGCTTGTGGGGGGATGATTTTCACAAAAAAATTTCAAATTTTGGAAAAATTTTTTTTTTCATTTTTTAATAACATTTTCTTTTTTAATGTTAAAACTGCTCCATAAACCTTAAAAGGCAGTCGGAACATTCAGGGCTTCGCCCTGATACGAGCAGTCTTGTTTAATTTTCAATTCGAAAAACTAGTTTTTTTTATTCGTTTTCAGGTTTTTTTTTTTGATAACACGATAGGTAATATCTTTTTTGCATCAATAACAAATTTTTTTCTGCTAATGTTTTTATAAATAAATTTAATATTTTCCTATTAATATTAAAAAATTCCTTTCGTTTCTTAGGTAGGCGGTACTTCGGTAACGTTGTAGTTCTAACAATAGTCAAAGCTAGATTCCACTGTGGTAGAAAAAATCCTCCTTCCAAATAAGTTTTCCAGAATTGTAATAGCTGTTTCTCTCTTTCCAGGTGCAGTACTTCGGGGACATCAGAGTAGGCAGCCCCCCTCAGAACTTCACAGTGGTGTTCGACACTGGCTCCTCCGACATCTGGGTGCCCTCGATGGCCTCCCCCGTCTCCTGTCTGGAGTGCAAGATGCACTCCCAGTTCAACCGGATGAACTCATCCACTTACAGATGGGGAGGAAGCAAGGTCAGTTGAACAGGGTCACAATTATAACCCCTTTCTAACCCTTCTACTTGAGTAGAACCTGTTCAAGAGTAACCCACCATTGTTTTCAGCTTTTTTGTCATTAATAAGAGTAGTACAAAGTAAATTATGGCATGTGTTCGATTAGAATAGGCTATAATGTCGGAGAGGAACATTCGGACAGAATGAGCATTCGGAACATTCGGAGCAAAGGAACAATCGGAGAGAATGAGGTGGTTTTGATTATTATGGTAAACGGAACAGCGGGCTTACTCTATGTGGGACAATACATATCTAATCCTAGTATCCGATTTCAAAGTTTCTTAAATCATTTAGCCACTCAAACCACTCGACTATTTGATTGATCATGTCTCAAAGACACTTCGAGATTATTTGGTGTGCTGCATAAACAAATTAAAATTTTTAAATTCGAAAACTGAACCAGCTTGAGATCTTTTCGATTGAGATCTTGTGATCTTTTCCCAACCCTTGTAAGATTAAAGAAAAATGTAATTTAAAAATTATTTATACGGTAATTTGAAAAATGATCAAGGTAAACTGACGAAGAAATGTGTTCATATATTTAAATTGGCACTTTTTTGCAGGTTTGATCATAACGTGTTATTTAAAACATACTTTCATGAGTCGCATTTTAAAAAATATTAAAAACTTGAAACTGGAAAAGAGCGTCAAAGCAATTGGCTTGGCAATTTTTGAGACGTGAAAAAAAATCTTTTCTCACTTTTCGAATCTTTACGTTGTATAATCATGAGAGTTTTTTAGATTGTTTTTTTTTATCGTAGTAATTTTCAATTCAAACTTTCAGAAAATAGTTTTTGAATATAGAACTGTGTTTATAACTGCAAAAACAAGTTCGAATCAGACTGATGTTGAAAATTGCAGATTCCTGCACGCCAAATTAAGACAGACTATTCTGGTTGACCTCACGCGAAAAAAAGCTTGTCATACAATTCCAAAATAAAAATGATTAACATTCGATTTTATACATGGAGTGCGTAGAAACAAGTTTATCATACAATTTCCATATATTAGAAATGTATGATGAACGATTTTTAACTTTCCGAAGATAAACTATTTTTAACTTGGACATTTTTCGAAAAAAATGCACGCAAAACTTTAATAATTTTGTCTATACTGTAGTCCAGGCTCAGTTTTATATAAAAAAAAATTGACTACGAAATATTGTACAAGTCCAAAATTGAAATATTTAATGCTTTATTATCGTAACATTTACTTCAGTTTGTCAAAAAGAATCATGCCACGATTTTTCTTAGACAATTAGCATTTTTGTCTAAAAATTTTTTTGCCAATTAGAAAAATTACAAGTTTTTATTCGTTATTTTTAAGCATTTGATTCAATTATGACTTATTATCTCATGCAAAACTACACAAGTAAAAATATATATGAGACATTTTATGTGAAACAGGGTTTTTTGTTTTAGAAAACCCTCGGTTTTGTGTTTTTGGGCAAAAGACAAAAATATTTGGTGAAAGTCGAAAACAAAAAATTCGATTCAAAAGAAAATACTTTTCATATAACAAAAACTGAAAAGCATTTTCAGTCAACTTGGGTAAATGGAGCAATTTATAGTGGATTCTAAAACACCATGTTTTTTGTGTACTTTTCAAGATTCAAGCAAGATGCAATTTAGTCTAAGTTCTGCGCAAATTATTGAAAACATGTTAAAGGTTACCATATTTTCTTGAACTACAAAACTGTGTTGCGAATACAATTAACAAGCCTGCTCAAGTCATTTGGAATATAATTAGGTTTTTTTATTTCGTTTTTTTTTTTTTCGTTTTACTCCCCCACACTATGTTAAGTATAATTTGATATGTTTTGCTTCTGCTACATGACCAAACAAAACAGTCCAATTCAGAGTTTTTCCCCCTTAAGCTTTTATAGGACGGAATTTATCGCACGTTAATTATTGCACTTTTGATCAATTTGACTTTTTTCATACCCTATACGCCTACATAAAACAATAGCCTGTAAAAAAAACCTTTTTTCCCACTTTCAAACGAAGGTGCGCATTTATTGTGTTCGGGTGCTTCATTTTGTTCATACAAGTATCGGTTTTTACTCGGCTTTTTCGGCTTTTTGGTCACTTTCGGCAGAATTTTTGATACCACCTGAAAAATGATGTTTTTCAAAAGTCAGAATTAAAAAAAATTTCCACGGTGTTTTGTTCAAAAGTTGTAAGGAGTGGATTCAACAAAAATTATTCATACTGGCATTATTGTTCCAACTTTTGTAACGAACGTAACGGAATATTTGTGCTCGGGATGGGTTTTTTTTCTTCAGACAAATTTCGACTTTTTACCTAGCGATTTTTGACAGAGTTTTTTTTATATCATTCGAAGGCTATTGTTGTCCTGAGCTTACATTTTAGAAGATATTTTACCTGTGATAATTTTTCAAATAGTTATTGGGGTTTACAGACTGAAATTTTGGCCAATTTGGGACAATTAACGCGCCATATATTTCGCGCTTTTAAAGCGTAAGCGGAGATTTAATCCTCTCAGAAATTGTTTCAAATTGGTTCATGGAAGCTTATATGCCGTAAATGATTTGTTAATAGGAGCAACATCTATTACTATGTACTTAATGTGGCGTGGGGGTATGTTTTTACAGAAAACCTTAATTTTTTAAGTTTATTTTTATTTATTACATTTAAATGTTTCATGTTATTACTGCTCCATAGACCTATAAAAGCAGTCGGAACATTCAGGGCTTCGCCCTGATACGAGCAGTCTTGTTATCATTTATCATATGATATAATTTGTCCTATTAATGCGTAAGCTCAAAATGAATCATAGCAAATTGAATTGAAAAAAAAAAAAAACAGTACACTCATTTTTTCCCGCAAACAAAGCATATTACAGTGTATTTTGCATGGTGTGTGTTGGTGGATAAAGCCCATTCATCTGAAATGCCAAAATTTTAAATGCAACTATTTGTTCTCAAAATGCAGGGGATTGGGTGCTTTTTTTTTAGAAAAAACAATAACGAGCTGGCGTTTGACAGTCAGTTCAAAAAACTTCAAAAAAAACATGAGAATTGTTTATGGCTGAAAATTCAAATTGCTTGGGCGTTGCTTCGTTGTACCTTTTAAGGGGAATTACTCATGAGAAAACTGTGATTTCTTCGCAAAAACACGAGACATTATTTTATAGGGTATTTGCACAGCAACCAGTAACTTTTTGTGTTCGGTAATATTAATACATTTTTTTCAAGTATTCAAAACTTATACCACTTGCGCTCATGTTTGTTATACTTTGCTATAGGCCAACTCAAAAATTTTCTATAAATCAGCTCTGTTTCTTGCATATAATGAGTGTCATCGGTTGCTTGTTCCATTTCAGGTCCAGATCCAGTATGTCCAAGGTATCATCCGGGGTTTCCTCAGTCAAGATAAAGTGTGTGTGGGCCAAGTGTGTGTGAACAGACAGCCATTTGTAGAGACATTGAGGTATTTTCTTATTATTTGAATCAAACAATAGTAAGATTTTTCTTTTTTCATAATTTTTGTCAATGGTCCGACTTCTGAAATTGGGAAGAAAGTTATGTTCTTTTTTGAAATTTTAATCTTGAAAAATCTAAATCCAAAAAAAAGTCTTGAAGGAAAAAGTGTAGATAGAGATTTTCTTGTTTAGAAAAAGAAAACTTTCTTTGTGACCTCAAAGTTCTTATATATTTTCTCATACGTTCCATACATTTGTTTAAGCAAGAAAACTCCATGACTACCATTTTCCCTATTACGGAGTTGTAAAACTAGCATTTTTGGTGTATTGAGTTCAAACCGGGTCAATGATAACAATTAGCGTATAAAAAACCATTGGTCTTTGACAAATCCCTGTTGAAGTTATGGCCTGTGTTTTTTGAAGTATCACAAACATGAATGACAATGAGTTCGACGGGGTGTTCGGTCTGGCCTTTCCCTCGCTGGCAGCCAATCACGGGGACACCTGGATCCTGAAGGCCTACAAGAGTGGAGTCATCGACAGACCAGTTTTCGCATTCTACCTCAACGAGTAAATACCACCTTACCCAACCCCCCCCCCCTTCTCTCCTCTCGCCTCAATTTTTGATACCCAATTGCTTCTCAAAATTCCCCTCCACCCCCGCGACTTTAAATCATAAAATTTTGCCACTCGGTTGTTCTAAAGACTCCTAAAAAGCCCTAATTTAATATCGGCAGGATATGTGAGCACCCAGCAAGTACGGCGCGAAAAATTTTGTCAAATTTTTGTGTGCCTTGAACTTCTGCGAGAGCTCGGATGGCAAATATGAGACAAAATGAATGAAATGTCCAAACAAAGTTTTTGCACAACAGTTTTCGAAATAAACTGATGCTAATGCTTACATTAGTTCCAATTTTCACAATTTTTAAACTATATTTTGTGCGCTTTAATTAGCTTTGCCCTGGGTGTGCGTGAGAACAGTCAGTTGGTGATCGGGGGCAGTGACCCCTCCCTCTACAAACCCCCCTTCACACGCCTGCCTGTGACGTCATTCGCCTTCTGGCAGATCAACATGGACAGCGCCAGGTACGAATTTATTGTGAAAATTATTGTTATTGTCATTATAATTCTAGTGGCGTGCGCAAAAATTAAATATAAAAAAGAAAAACAGAAAGTTTTGTGAAATGTTCTCAAAATAAAGTAAATGTACCGGAAATTTAGAAAAAAAAGAATTTAAACAAATCCAGCTGCAGATTAAAATATTCACCATAATACTTTGCCGACTCTGATGTACTCTAAACTTAATTTTAACTTTTTGATTAGTTGTTCGAAGCATGCTATTAGTATGTTGTTAATTTTTTAATTATTTCACATCATACATTAAATTTACCGTCCCAATGTGTCCTTTTACTTCTAGGGTGGGCGAATTCGACTCTGAGAAGGCGAGGGCGAGGGGCAAGAGTCTGTGTGAGTTGGGCTGCTATGCCGTGTTAGACAGTGGCACTAGTCTCATAGTCGGTCCCCCCAATGACGTCATGAAACTAGTAGACGCCATTGGAGCACAGACCACTAGTGAGTCAATTTGTTTCTTAAGAATACCAAAAGAAATATTGTTTTTTAGTTCCATTTTTTCAAAATTTCAAATACTAAATTAAAATAGTTGACTACAAAAAATTACATTTTAAGTGATACTATTGTTTCCAAAATCATATGAAACTGAAGTTTTCTCTTCAAATTTTTATGTGAGATCCAAAAGATAATGATATTTATTCATTTCGAATGATCTCAGTCCAATAATTTACGCCATTCTCAAAAAAAGGATTAGCGTTCCAATGTTTGATGCAAAACAGAAAACACTCAAAAACTATGTTTTTTCTTGCTTCCAGACGAATACGGCATTTACTCTATGGAATGCAGTCGCAAACACTCCTCAGAAGACCACCCAGAACACAACGTCGTGTTCGTGTTCAAGGGACGTGAGTTCATCCTAGAACCTAAAGATTACATAATCGAGTACAACAACGAATGCATGTTGGGATTCAGCGTCATCCCAGCCACTGCTTCTCTGGGAGAACCCTGGATACTGGGGGATGTGTTCATGAGGAAGTTCTATACTGAGTTCGACCTGGGAAAGATGCAGATATCTCTGGCTGAAGCAAAAGTAGATGAAGCGAAATAATAAAAAGCCTATATCTTGCCTTTCTGAAGTGACTTTTTCTGAAGTTTACATGAACTGAAGAGAATTTGTTGATTTATTGTACTTCATTCTTCGACCATTGGTCTAGTGCCTTTTATCAAAAGCAACAAAATAATATAAGAGCTTAAAACAAATATAATTTCTGTTCTAATCTATAAGTTTTCAACTAAAAGAAAAGGGATTTCCAGCAATCATCGTCATTACGAGGCCAAACTGTGCATTTTAAGCGGAATCCGCAACAGGCTAAAATCAGATTTGTAGCGGAATCCGCTTCATTGCTACTTTTCTTTGATCTTTTTTGCTGTTTTGAACGCCACAAACAAATACCTTGAACATTAAGCGGCTCAAAGTTGCTCCAAAAATAAACGAACTTGCGAGATCCGCAACTGTATTTGCGGAATCCAGAACAGTTTATAAGACATGTATATAGTTAAATTGAGCTGTTGTGGAATCAGCAACTGTAAGCGGAATCCGCAAATTGTAAGTGGAATTCGTAAATTGTTAGTGGAATCCGCGTTTTGTTTGCGGATTCCACTTATATTTGCTGATTCGATTTACATTTTACGGACTTCACTTAAGTTTTGCGGAACCTACTTAAAGTTGCGGAATCCAGAACAACTAGCTGTATTTGCTTGTTGCGGAATCCGCAGCAAAACAAATGTGCCGACAAATCTTACGTTACAGGTACTTGTACGCGGAGCTCACGAAACTTTTGTGAGTGGAATCCACTTACATTTTAGAACATACAAAAATTTGTCTCTGAAATCCAGGAACATACAGACACAAATTGCGCGCCTATTTAGTGCACAGTTTGGCCTTGTAATGGTTCATTTACTTGTATTAAAAACATGGAAAAAGTAATAATTACTGATATGTTTTTTCTTGAAATTAAGTAAACATACTATTCTTTCACTCATTTAAAATATTTTGGAGCTTTTTGATTGAATAAAATGTTATATTTTGTCATAATTTGATGCCAAAGTTATCAAAAATTTATTATCAAAGTTTCAAAGAAGTAATTTGATTGACTGTTAAATAGAAATCATTAAGAAATTTCACACCACTTGAACAAAAGCTCCCGCTAAGATTATTGAATTACAAAACACTCTCTAATGATGCAAAAATAGTTCCAAACTTTTGTTGCAAACTTTCGGGTTGAAAAGGCACTGTGTCATCTTATAAAAAACAGCTTAAATTGAAACAAGATCAGATCAGCAATCTCTGAAAGTACTCTCTTCAACCTCTGAAAGTTTATATTTTGTGAAATTTTGTTTATATCTGAGTTCCTTGAAAAAGTTTAAAAAGACATAAAAATGTCACGTCTCGGAAACTTAAAGCGTTTGAGCAGCCGCAATTAGACACAAAATTTGGAACTCGTGAGATTACTCTCACATTACCAACTTACAGGTTTGGAAATTTTCATTTTTTTTAAGGTTTTTTCAAGATAGTTTTTCTGATAATTTTGGAAAAACTCATAAAAAACGTCATATCTCGAAAACCACAATGATTTTAGCTCTCATATCTGTACGCAAGACTCGAATTTTGTGATTACTTTGAGGACACTCAACTACAGGGGTGGGAATTTCTTTGTTTTTCAATTTTTTGAAAACTAGGTTCTCTGGAAATTTAAATTAAAATTATAAAAAAAAGTCGTATCTCGAAAACTACAAGAATATGAGCAGCCATATTTAGAGGCAAGATTCAAAACCCTGAAGAATTTGTGTGTTCATAGGTGGATGCCCTAGGGGAATTCCTGGCATGCTCCCACTACTGAGTTGCTAATTTAAAACTCGGTGAATCAAAACTCAATTTTAAACTGGAACATTGAAAATAAGTTTCCTAACCATTGCAATATATGATATAGTTTAAACGTGGAAAAATTCTTTCGTTAAACATGCAAAAATACAATGTTGAAAAAGCTTAGATGGCAAGATAGTGAATTCAAACATATAATAGACAAAAGAACTTGAACAAAAATAGCAAGCTTCAACTTGTAAATCAGAGTTTTTTACTTCTTGTAGTGAGTTCGAAATTCCCATTCCGCTAACAGTATCAAATAGTATCGCGCAAAAATTAGATATCGACAGACTTCCGGAAGTTTTTTTGGAACCCGGCTCTTATTAGAAAGGTCAAAATAATTAAAAACAAAAATAAAAAAAGAATGAATTCATAAATTGATGTCCTTGGGGTTCTCAACTCTTTTTTCGCCGAAACTTTGATTCAAGTGGTTCACATATAATCAAATGCTATATACTTGTAATTGTATTTAGCTCTATGAAGAAGAAGCGGTGACAATAAAGTCCAATCACATACACACTCTATTTTGTTTTGCTCATTTCTTGAGAAAGAGCAATTAAAATATCTGATGAATACTGAAAAAATCACCTGTCTTTTGAAAGAAGAACAATAGAAGAAAGAAGGGAGCAGATGCAAAGAGACATTATCACTAACCACAAACCAATCTCACATCAAACACGATCATCATCATCATTCATAACATGTTTAGAGATACAAATTAAATTGCAAAACACATTTGTTACCAGTTTATACCATTTAGGTTTATTTTTTCATCAAATAAATTTCAACTGCAATTTTATAATTGCTAGTATTTGTATTTTTTAAATTCAATTGCACCCAATTTGTGAGTGTTATCACAACAGCTATATCGGCTTGGAAAAAAAGCTGTATTGAAAAAGCCATTTGCAGAACTCAAAACATTTTTGTCAAAGATATCAGCAACAGTTTTGAAACAGCATCGCGTTTCATTTCAATTGAAAATAATCGATTTTTTTTTCTAATCTGCAATTTTTTATTATAATGCTTCAAGTTAGCGACTACCCTTTGGACTTAACTAAAACCTTAGACAGGCCTAAATCTGGCACAGCAAAGAACCCCATCCACAGAGACAGAACCCGAAGAGGATCTGGAAGGTCCCTCTCCCCCTCCAAAACACCCTCTCCGCGTGATTGGGTGCAGGGGGTGGGCGAGGGAGAAGTTGGGGAGTCCAGTCGGGGAGGGGGGAACTGTGTGGAGGACAAGGAAGTTCAGACTGATATTGACAGTGTGCATTATAAAGTCACTTCAAACTACATACAAGGCATGCTTATATTTTGATATTTTTTATTTTTTGATCTTTTTAGCCTTCTCCTTAATGCAAAAAGAAGAAATTGTTTTTGTTTCACCAACCTGCGAATTTACTTTGGTTTTCATACCTAAACAACGCGTTAAACCCATAAAAATTCAGGCTTGTGCAAAGTGTGTCTGGCCTTTTTGATGCTTTTAAGACGCAATTAACAATTTTTTCAAAAATTTTCGCAGCCCGAAACAATATAAAACACAGTAAATTGTGATAATCATAAGATATCCTTTTTTTGCCTATCGTGTGATCTTTGCGTGGGCAAAACTGCCTGATGACAGGACGGCCTTTTTTATAAAACTTTTATTAAGTTTAGGCTTTATCACTTCAGTATTTTAAACTCATAAGAAATCATATTATACTATATTTGCTGTGAAGTAATCACTCTAAATCAATGATTAACGCTTTTCAAAGGGTATATTTCGTTTCTCTGATTGCCCAAAATCCATTATCTTTAATTTAGTAGAATAAGAGTCACACAGTTTGTTACAAAAAAGGGGTCTTATGCACTAAACGGCCCAAAATCATTATTTCTTCATCTCTTGAACTGAAATTAATGTGGTTGAATTTTTTTCTGCCATTTCAAATGAAATAATTCTGCCGTTTCAAGCAGATAAAATTATTAGCCGAATTATTTATTTGAGTTTTTGTTGTCAAGCCATTTTATTGAGTTTTTCTTGTTCCGGCAAGGTTTCACAAGTAACTCAAAATTAATTTGATTATCTTACAGAATTCCATCTTTGCGGAAATTTCAGCTAATATTTTTATCTGCTGGAAAGGTTGATCGGAATGCCTGACCGTCTAACTTGAATTTGATTGGCTAAATTTACCCAATCAAATTCGATCGCATAATTTTCAGCTTACGATGTAGAAAATTTGATTTTGGGCCGTTTAGTGCTTAAGACCCCAAAATAGTCTCGAAGAACTCGTCGCCCAAAAAACTGAAAACTTAAAACATTTCACCAATTTTTTTCATCAATTTAATATAAAAAGTCATTTATGCAGAAAAGTCCTCCGCTAATATGGTGCTCAAAAGAGATGCTTTGGTTATCTAGGTGGGAAAGTAAGAAGTGTATCAGCTCACAACAGATACAGAGAGAGGAGAGAGGCCCTTCTTGGCAATGAGAACAAAGGGGTGGGAGGGGGACTGCTGATGAGTCATGGCTTCAGCAGTGGACTCAAAGTGGACAGTCGAAAAGCACAGCTCTTCAGTAAACACAAAAACCCCGGAGCACAGGCTAGTAAATACTTTCAGGAGCAAGAGGAGAAAGAGGGTAGAGTAACCGCCTCGCGAACGAAGGGTTGCAGGTTCGAGGCCCACAACGAGCCGTACGCTCGTTGCATGTTATGATGAGTCAGCAATTCTCAGTAAAATTTTTAGCGACAATTACCAAAAAAAAAAGAAACAAACATTTTTTATTCAGAGGCACATCGGGTGTTCTCTGTAAAGACCTGAACGGCTCGCACATACTTTTTTCACTATTATGGATAAATGAATTCGATTGTTACGTCATTATATGACAGAAGCTTAAAATTAAATTTGTCCAAACAACCAAATTCGTCCATTAAATTTGAGATTGCCATTTTCGACATGCTAAGATGATTTTCTTAGTTGTCCTAAACTTGACTTTTTAGAACAGTCAAAATTCATTTTTTGTGTGTGCTTGCCCAAGATGACCTCATTCATTAGTTTGAATCCACCTTTTTATTTTTGAAGACAATTTTTTGGCAATACTGGCGGCCCTAATGGTCTTAACTCTAGTCAAATAATGGGGCTTTTCAGGTTAATTAGATTTTTTGACACGGTTATCACGAGGTGAAGAAGTTAAATATTAGTTTCAGAAGTTAAAATGAGCATGTTTAGATGAATATCTTAGTTGGATTTGCTGACAAAAAATAAAAGTTAGATTATTGCCAACTATTGCTGAAATGAGTAATAATATGGTTCGAGATATCAAAAAAGGCAGTTCTATTTATATTTGTTCTGAGTCACTGACCGAAAAAATGTTTGCCGACACATTGACTGAAACTTGTTTTTTTTCACGACTAGGAAGGACCCGTATTCCTCGTATCTGTACCCTCACTTGACGGAATAGTGCACGAGTACCAAGAAATGCTTCACAAACCTACATCAAAATCGAAAACAGACCCCCCACTCTCGCCTCGCATTAACGCCTACAACCAAGGTGGGGGTGCAATAATTGAAGTAGATGAGGGGGTGAAAAGACTGAGGAAGAAAGGGGGGAGCGGTAAAAAGGGGAGGGGCAAGGGGATGGAAGAAGCTGTGGAGATCAGTAGAATAACACCTGTGGTTCCGAGGACCGACGATGCTTATGGAAGCCCCGATGAATCGCCAGGGCGGGGGGAGTACGACGACGGAATTGAAAAAACACGAGAAGAAAACGAAATTAACGAAAATGAGACTGCAAATAATAAAACAACTGATCAGTGAGTGAAACGTTATATATTAGCTTTTCTTTACAATTTTATTTGGTTATATGGTAAGAAGTTATTGAAAAACGTTTTTTTTTTTCAGTCAAGTTTTGGTGAAACTTTTGAAAATTTAATGAAGTTTTTATAGAGAATCTTGTTTGGTAAATTAGTGAGTGAAGAAGTGAAAATGGTTTAATGGTTTACAAGGTTTCTGAGCCTTCCTAACTCAACCAACCCCAACACTCCCAAACCGCCACATCGACCAATCAGAGTCCAGAGTGCTAAAACTGTTTCCCAACGAACTGTGATTCCCCACGGAGAGCCGAATGAGTTGCAAAGTTACCATAGGAGGGCAGAGAGACCGAAGACTGCTGCATCTACAACTGGAAGGCCGATTAGAGTAGGTGCAGTTGATTAAAACACCTAATTTTAGCTATGATTTGTTCAAGTATATATTATTGATTTTCTAATTTCTTTTCTAATTTCTTGAAAAAATATCATTATTGAAAAAAAAGCTTGTCATTGTTTTGCGAATGAACTTAATCAGACGAAAATCAAAGTATATACAAAAATGACCAGTTAGAAGACACGTATTAAGAACAAACTCACCAAAAAATTCAAAAGCATTTTTCTCAGTCTTTCTTGTAAAATCTGTCATTCAAAGGCAAAATATGTTTAATCTGTTATTGAAAAAATGCAGTGTGATCAAAATGAAGTGACAAGAATAAAAAAACGTGAAGTTCAGAAGAGTATGGAAAAAAGACACACAATGAGACAAAAAATGAATCCATTAGAGAAGGCCAACTACCGTTGCTATATTACACGAAAAGACGAAAAGTGCCAGCATGTATTTTAGGAGCGATTTTTCATTATGTATTAGTCTCAATTTTCTCCAGGGAAAAATTACATCGTCCACCTATTGCTTGTCTGCTTATGTTTTGTCGGTTTCGTTGCCACATTCCAAAAATTTCTTGTGCTGCAAGCAATTTTCGTGCAATGGCATGTTCTGTTGATTTTCTCCTGTATTTTGAAGTTTAATATCCCTTGGCTTTGCATTTTTTTTGTTATTTTTTATTTGAATGTTTCTTATAACCTACAAGGTTTTGGCTCACTATGTATTGGCTTATTCAACTTATCTTGAGTCGTTTAAAGTGTAATACTTCGTAATTTTTAAAAAACTTTAGTTCGGTTGTGGTGCAAAAACTCATCATTTTAAAACTTAATTACTCCAAGTTTTTTTTATGACCACAATTTTTTATTTTTTTTTGTTTTCGGCTCAAAGGCTGTCTACAACGGTTTTCGGCTTGGTTACCCTAAATAAATTGTAAAAATGTTTTTATGTCTTCAAAATTTGTATTTGTGTTTTTCGACTGTGTTTTTGAAATGAAGTTTTTCCTTGATTCTGGTAGAATTTTTTATTTAAACTTTTCTTTCAACTTAGTTGCTTTCATCTCTGTTTTTTGAGTCTGGGAACGTAACTTTTTTGTGATCTGACTTTTGATTTATTTTAAAAATCAGTTCATTTTTTTGTTAAAAGGGAGGGAAACTCCATTCTCGGTCAGCAAGAAAAGAAAAAGTCTTGAAAAATGTGATTGATCTCTAACATTTCGAAAATGGAATTTAACTATCTGATTACCGAGCGAAACAAAATTTTAGTTATCAATCAAGCTTTTTCAAATTCGGTTAATTTTATCAAACAGTGCAATCACAGCGCGTTTGTTTTAGATTGAAAAATCGTGCATGGAATTTAAAAAAATTAGTTTAGAATTGACTTAAAATCAAATTTTCCGAAATAATTTTTTTTTCTCGGCACCCAAAAAATTCATTCACACTATTCTGATTTCGCTTATATTTCGAAGATCCCGCTTGCAATTCGCAAATTCCGCTTGCAACTGCGTTTTCTGTTTGCAACTGCGAAACCAGCGGTAGAGTAATTTTACTAAACACGTATATTATTGCTGGGACTTTCGATGAAAATTACGGAATACTTGCGCTCTGGGTGTTGTTTTCTCCAGTCAAAAGAGCTCAAAATTAAAGTGTTTTTTGCCTGCGATGGTTTTTGTAGAATTATGTGGCTCCAAAGAGTGCCAATTTTGACAATTTGGACAAATAACGCCAGAAATATTTTGTGCTAAAAACGCGTAAATGGAGATAGAATCTGTCATAAAAATCGTTCCAACTTGAACTGAGGCGTGTTATTAAAAACGTGCTTTATTCAAAATATAACACTTCGTCAATAAAGCAGCGTGTAAAGGTGGTTCATTTTGAAAAAATGGGATTTATGTTTAAGGCGAACACTACTCCATAGACCTCCAAAAACAACAAAGAAGAGCAAAGAAAACTAGCTTAAATGCCACAGTTTGGCCTCCTAATGTTTTTCTGCGATGAAAATTGAATATCCGGCGTTCAGTGTCTGATTGTGTGTTTGAAGTTCAGTGAAATTTGTATGAAACGTATTACTGGTTTACCCTGCCAAAACTATATGTTTTTTTAATACTTCTTCGTGGATTTTTTATTAGCAAGCCCGGTGTTATATTTCTCATAAATTTTGAAAATGTAATGGAAAATTTTGCAATCTGAAATGTTGAAAAAACGCTCAGAATTATTTGCCAAATTTTTGGTTATCCTAGTTTCCGTTTTCCCGGGTTGGCCAAAAAGCTGCCATCAAAGAATTTTGCTTAGAACAATCTTACATCCACAAAATTAGAATGTCACAAGATAGGGACGTTTTCTTTTAAGAAAATTGATAGTGACTTTTCTTGCAAGAAAGTTGTAAGATAGGTTTTTTGTATGTGCATTTTCAGTTTTTTTTTTCGAACCAGTTTAAAATTTCTCCGCTGACGCAGAGTACAATAAAAGAAACTCAGAGGCCAAACAGCTCGTTTCGCTCATGAGTTTAATAAATAAGCCACTAGCTTTGTGTAGTAAGGTTCAGCTGATAACTAAAAATGTTTATATGCATAAATTTAGTTAAAAAAAACTTTCAAAATTGAGTTTTAAATGCTATTACGTTCTAGAAACACATTTAAAAAGTTTTTTTGAGCTTTGGAAAAATGTTACCATCTTTTTGTTAAAAGAAAGTTGTAAGATCGCGGAAATTTTCTACTAAATCTCAGAAGAAGTTCTAAGATAGGGGAAAGTTTTGTAGGATGGTCAACACGGGTTTCTTTTCTTTTTGTGAGTTTTTTTTTCATATTCACCAAATTTTGAAGTGGGTCAACTTTTATCCTCAGTTCAGTTAACTTTTTCCATCTCTTATCGGACTACTTCTCTAGTCTTGTCAAAGGCAATTTGTGGAAATTTTTTTTTGAAAGTAGATTGTAAACAAATTAAAACTAACGACTAATTTAGGCGGATTGGGGTAATGTGCAGACTCAAAATCAAGACCGATGGGCTACACGCACTCATTTCCACTTCCAGGTAACTCATTCTGAACACAGTTCTGGTCTTAATTCAAGCTATCATCCCTCCCCCTACAACTTATTAGGGAGAAGTTAACAAAGTTCCACGTTGGATTTTCAGCCAATCCAAAAATTGCATTTCACAGCTCAGCTGTTTTTCTGAGTTAAAAATTGGTTGGAAGATCTAATTTGATTTATTTAGACAGAAAAATGATTAATTTATTCTATGTTTTCGAATAATTCCCTATCGGAGTGGATAACTGGAAGCTTATCTATGTTTTCCAACGCAGGAATTTTGAAGCACTCACTATTCAAGCCCCCAAAAGCCCTGATTGGTTTAATTTTTAATGAAGGTGACCTATTTGAGAAACTTTTTGGAAACATATCGCATATTTAAGCTTAAAATGTTTCGGATCGAGTGGTGCCAAAGTATGAAACAGTTTTTGGCAAAGTTAATAAATTTCATCAAAGAGACTAAAAACAGTCAAAACTTAGACTCTTACAGTTTCTACCAGAAAGAGAGGCTAGGGGCAGACGCTTGGCGATTCCCCTATGATCCTGCTGTCTGTCCTCTCAAGAATTTGTTGAATTATGTATAATTTGATTCAAACTTTTTCGGTAAATTAAATTTAGTCAACTTAAGCTGGAGTTTTAGTCCCAGCATCATGAGGACATGCGATGGGGTGCTGGGAGACCTCGGACTCCGACAATTCCTCATAAACAGAGAGTGGACTGGTACGGGGAAGGAGGGAATCATGAGGCACTGCAGAGACCCCAGTTCCTTGTTGCCAGCTCCATCAAGCCACAAGTCGATGTTAGCCCCCATTCTATGCTTAAAAATTGGGTTTCACTTTCAGACCACGCAAAAGAAGAGTTTCTAACAAGGAAAAATCATGGAATGAATAATGACTCAGAATGAATTGTTTGGTGTAAAAACTTGGTTTGAAAAGAGTGCAGTTTAAGCTAGATCTTGCAAATGCACCAGTATCTGAGCCCCTTTTGTAATTTACTGAGTAGCAAATAAGGCACAGACTGAGTTCTGGTGGGTGAAAAACTAGGCGGGTGAAAAATTTCTAACCAAATGTCCGATATTCTTCTAAAATTAATTTTCCTTTTGTCACATTCAGTTTTGAATTCAAATCCTAGAATAAAGTTAGACGAGGAATAATTGTTTTCAAAAAGTGAATCACGATTTCTTTTTAAATTTTTTGCTTCGTTTTTTGAAATAAAAATCTGTTTTTGGTTAAGAATACGTGCAAAGATGGGAAGTATAGACGCCACGTAGCTGGAGGGAGTGGATACATGCACTTAATCAAACAGATCAGACGACCCAAAACAGCACCTGCCTCAGTGCCCCAGCTGAACCGCAACAAACACAAACCCCCCTTCAACCCAGTTAAGGTCAGTTCATTGAGATTAAGCTGGTACAAAACTTGGCTCTACCCACACCTTGATTTTTTATGTTTGTTTTTGTTTTACATGTTGTTGTGGCTGAGTCTGTGATTTTACGATATAAAATTACAAACATTTCCGTTCAAAAATTCTTAAGAAACTAAAATAGTTTTGGAAATTATCACAGAATCTTATAAAATCCTAAACAGATTTGTTCAATTTTTTTTAAACCAATTTTTTGTTTTCAATTCACCGTTTTTTTGGGTTCCTCAAGCTATTTTTTACAGCCCCTTTGTCCAATTTATGTCGCTCCTTCGATCCCTGTCCCCCATCCTATGTTTAGCCCCTTTAAGGTCAAGCCATTAAACATCTTGAGGGTGGTTGGGAAGGGGGGTTTGGAAAGGAGCGTGGGGTGGGAAAGTTGAGGCAGGGAGATGAGTACAAAGGGTTGAGACAGGGGGACGAGCAGAAAAGAGAAAACTTTTCCCATTTGCAAAGAATAAACATTTTTTATGGCTCATACGAACAAAAAGGTCAAATATGATGAAACCAAATTGGAAAAGAATCGATTAAAAGGGATATATCCGGTTCTGTTTTGACAGAGAATTTTTTAAATTCCGTTCAAATTCCATTCTAAATATTGAATGGGTCCCGAAAGTTATTTAAATTGTTACATTTTTTGCCGACATAATCCGTTAAGACCAATTATTTCCCATAGAACTCTAGTGCGGGAGGTCTCAAGATTTGAATCAGCCCTGATAATGACAAAAAAAAGGTATTGTTACTGTCATGCAAATATCAACTTTATCTTTTTTTCTCATTTTCTGAAAGGGGATAAATAATCGGTTAAAATCCCTTGAAACTCAGTTCTCATTTTAAATGCGTCCCGAAAATTTTTTTGCCGATATCAACCGATAAAACTGAACATTTCTACTAGAACTTTAGTGCGGGAAGATTTGAATCAATCCTGATAGTGTTGAAAGAGTAACTATAAGTGTCAATCAATTATCAATTTAAGACATTTTTTCTCATTTAATTCAATAGGGATATATAATCGAATAAAATCCCCTAGAAATCAATTCTCAAATTTAAATGGGTTCCAAAATTTTTAAATTTATTTATTTTTCTGCCGATGCAACCCATTAAAATCGATTATTTCCAATAGAATTCTAGTGGGGGAGATTTCGAGGTTTGAATTAACGCCATGATACTGTTGAAAATGGAATAATGATTGTCTATCCATTATCAATTTCTCATTAAAATGGGTCCCAAGATTTTTATAAATTGTTTTTTTTTTCCGATAAAATCCATTAATATCGATTACTTCCAACAGAAATATACTGCAGGAGATATCGAAATTTGAATCAGCCCTGATAGTGACAAAAAAAGTTATTGTAATTATTGTAACTGTCATGCAAAAATCTATTTTTATCTTTTTTTCTCATTTTCTGAAAGGGTAAAAAAATCGATTGAAATCCCCTGAAAATCAGTTCTTATATTTATATAGGTCCCAAATTTTTTTTATTTTATTAATTTTTCTGCCGATGCGATCTATTAAAATCGATAGTTTCCAATAGAAGTCTAGTGCGGGAGATTTTGAGGCTTGAATCAGCCATGATAGTGTTGAAAATGGAATAATAACTATCTATCCCTTATCAGTTTGAGCTTTTTCCTCAAATCTACAAGGGTAAAAAATATCGATTGAAATCCCCTGAAAATCAGTTCTTATATTTAAATAGGTCCCAAATTTTTTTATTTTATTAATTTTTCTGCCAATGTAATCCATTAAAATCGATAACTTCCAATAGAAGGCCAGTGCGGGAGATCTCGTGATTTCAATCAGCCCTGATAGTGACAAAAAGGGTATTTTAACCGTCATTCACTTATCTTTTTTTTTAATTTATTGAACGGGAATACATAATCGATTCGAATCACATGAAAAGCTATTCTCATGTTAAAACGGGACCCAAAAGTTTTTTATATTATTTTAGTTTTCTGCCGCTATAACCCATTATAATGATTTTTTAACAGAGATATCTAGTGCGGGAGATCTCGAGATTTCAATCAGCCCTGATAGTGACAATAAAGAAACTATAACTGTTATTCAATTATCAATTTAGCTTTTTTCTCAGTTTTTGGAAGGGGATACATAATCGATTAAAACGCCCTAGAAATCAATTCTCATTTTCAAAGAGATACCAAAACTTTTTTAAATTGTTCAATTTTTCTGCTAATATAATCAATTCAAATCATTTATTTCCAATAGAACTCTAGTGCGGGAGCTCTTGAGATTTGTAGTCGCTCTGATAGTCTCCAAAAAGGAATTATAGTTGTCATTCAATCATCAATTATAGCTTTTTTCTCAATTTTATGATAGGGGATAAAAAATCGACTAAACTCCTTTAAAATCAAATCTCATGTTAAAATGGGTCCCAAATCTGTTAAATTGTTTAATTTTTTTGCCAATATAATCCCTTAAAATCGATTATTTCTTTTAAAACTCTGGTGCGGGAGATCTCGAAATTTCAATCAGCCCTGATAGTGAGAAATAAGGAATAACAACTGGCATTCAATTATCGGTCTTAATTTTTTTTCTTAAACGGGAATACATAATCAATTAAAAACTCCTGTAACTCTATTCTCATGTTAAAATTGGTTCCAAATTTTCTTTTAATTTGTTCAATTTTTCTGCTAGTTTAGGAAAACGGGAGTGAAACTCAAGGCATTTGAAAATTTTTGCAAAATTCGAAGGTTTATGAAAAGATTTGGTACATATTGAATTGAGTAAGCTAAGGACTGATAAGGCCAAACTTTTCATCCAAGTAGCAAAAAATCACCTGATTGAACTACCTTGGACAAACAAATTTGCCGATCTTGGCAAAATTTTACTTGCAACAAGTTTTTGGTTTCAGGCTAACTTATAATCTAATTTTTAAAAAACTCAAACAGATAAAGTTCGCGAAAAGATAGCAATTTTTTGATTGATAAAAATATCTATGATTTTTTTGTTGTTTTTGTTTGACCTAAAAATTCAAAATAAATGCGCTGATGCGTTCGTGTTGACCAAAATTGCTAGACATACCAATGGCATAGATTTTCTCCATCATTGCATTTTAAATTTTCGCCAGAGTCTCCTAGTTCGCCAACTAGAGTCTCCTAGTTCGCCAATTAGAAAGGGAGTTTTTTTGATATGGACAAGCATTCAACCATGAATTATCAAAAAAGGAGATTTTTCAAATATATTTTTTTAGTTTCTAAGATTTGTATTCATTAATAATATGAAATCTACTGTTGAGTGGGTTTCAGAAAAACTGTTTTTTGAGATATGCAAAAGCATAAACAGGAGCTGTCGAGATGAACATGAAAACATTCGTACCTTTCAACGGCGAAAAAAACTTATGTGCTTAGATGTTTTCGGGATTACTTTTAACGTGTTTCTTTTCTTTTTGATCTATCTGGTCTTGAACAGAGCCAAACGAATTCGTGTTTTCAAAATCCAAGCCACTTGGTTACTAAAAAAACATATATTTTCAGCGTTTTGAGCTGTTTAGCCATATTATAAAAAATCTGCATTCAGAAAATCACATTACTTCCTTTTCTGACTTGTTTCAATATTTAGCCAGGAAAAGGCGGACGGATCTAAAGCATTCTTCCAAACCTTTTAACTAAAATATAAAAGTCAATAGGCATAAAAGTATTAGAAGTTTTTATGAGAAATTTTGCAAACACAAATGCTTAGTCGTTTTTTGTGCGAGTTGTGAAGAAAACCAAACATTTAGACATTTTAGACACGCCTAAAAAATTTCAGGCAAAAATTTTTTGTCGGAAAAAACAAAAAAAACAAAAAAATCACTAATAAAGTATTATAAAAACCAGAACATTCGTTTTCCAAGTTTTAGAGTGTTTTTTTTTGCACGGTAGCGCTACAAAATCATTCAAATATATTTTTACAGGCGTAAAATAGTTTTTAACGGCTTATCAGTCTGTGATAAGCCTGCTCGCTTGGTTACTTGTTCAAAACTGAACTGAAACTGTAAAATTCTAAACAGGTTTTACTTGATACTAGGAAAATATTTTAATTAAAAGTGAAGCACTTTAATTTTATGCATCACTCTATACATTTCGATGATTTTTTTGCTATTTGTTTTGACTGAAAAGCAAAAAAAAGCATGCTGGCTCACTCTATTTTCTCGAAACAGAACAAAAATTAAACAGATAAAAAAGTAGTGACTGGTGACAAATCTTGCGGCGTATTTTTGACCCATTCTAAAATTTTCAATTTGACCCATTCTAAAAAAAAAACTGAAACACATCCGAAAACAAAATTCTTCCCCATTTTCAATGACCAAAACAAAAATGCATTTATGAGCTTTTTGCGTTTTTGAGACTTAAGAACGCGCTTACAATGTGTCAATATCCATCAAAATTCGGTCATGATAATTTGATTGATTCTAGTTTGTTTGTGTTACAGTTTCGTGGCGTTTTTCATAATTGCTGTCATCCAACTTTAGAGCAAAACTCTTTACCCTTAAACAAAACTCCAAAAAACCGCTATGTTTTTTCTCAAATTGCTAATGCTGACTGTTACTAATGACAACATGACCAGAACCATTGCTGTATTAGACACAAATAAATAGAATTTCAAAGGTGGTGGGAATTATTCAAACTCACATGTGCTGAAAAAAAAATACTTTGGCTCTTTATCTTTTCCCTCGCCTGCGACCTTATACTTATTAAACTTCTGATCACAATTAACGCGGCCTGCGGACAAATTGGGGTATAGCAAACATATTTAGTATTTATAGATAGGACTTCAAAACCACTCGTTACACCAGAAACTTTTACTTATGTTAAGTGGGTTTTTGGTGGTGATCCAATATTTTCAACCTTTTCCTATTCAGGTCAAACTGAAGGACGGACAAGAGTGTGGGTGCACAAGGTCAGACACCGCAACAAACGCAACAGACACTGGGGATGAAGGGGAGGGGGAGGGGCTGAATAGTGGGAAAACGAGGGAGGGATGTGTGGGTGTCGACGGGGCTCTGAGTTGTGTGTCTCCGCCCAAAACCAGACTGCACATCAGTACAAAGCAGGAAATATTGAGAGGTAGAAAAAAAATAAATTTCATGTTGCCAAGAAAAATTATGAATATGTTTGTGGAAAAGTTTTTAATTTGGCACAACCAACCATAGACAGTTATTTGATTTTTGAAAACCCCATTTTTTGAAAACCTCCTCATTGATGGCTAAACTCCCAAAGAACGCTTATAAATTCTGGCAATAGTGATAAAAAAAAGTTTTAGGCAGTGTTATTGCATTTCAATGATTCTAAAAAAAAACAGAAGTGATATGTGAGCTGGTTGCGGCTCTGTACGTTACCGTCGTTTAGCCTTCTACCTTGAGCAGCCGTGGCCGAGTGGAGTAAGGGGGGTTGAGACAAGAAAAAACAAAAAAAAATCATTTTGTGATTTTCTTTTTACCCTCGTGATAGTTTCGTTTGTTGTCCTGTTAGTGTACAAGAGAGCTAGTGGGGATGACATTGAGACTGGGGTGAAAATGGACAGCGAAGGGTACCAGCGCAGTCTGCAGTGGCGACAACAACAACAGCAGCAACAACAACAACAGCAGCAAATCAAGGTTAAATTTGGTTATTTTTGAGGTTGTTTCTATCGTTTGCAAATTGTGGATCTCTTGAGTTATCCCCCACCATTCTTTGCCTCACTTTTTGAGTGATTGTTTTTTTTTGCTTAAAATGATGGCGAAGGTCAGTGAATCTTAGAAATGTAAAGAATGTTACAGCTCCATACCTTACCTGTCTCCCATAACTAACAGTGGAAATTAGAAAATAAACTGAATTTAGCAAATATGATACCGCTGCATAAAAAAGGAAGCAAGTTAATTCTTATCGCTCAATACTTAATCAGTTGCAGAGTTTGAGAGTGCACAATTACTTCTTTAAACTCTATCTAAAAAAACTAGACTGCGAGCAATTCGATCTAAAAAAACTAGACAGCGAGCAATTCGATCTAAAAAAACTAGACAGCGAGCAATTCGATTTCTGGTGGCAATTGCTTGTTTTCTTGATCTAGCAAAAGTAAAAACAAAAACTCGGACAGGTCAAAAAGACTATTTGAGTGGTTATTTTTTGTTTGAATTGAAAAAGGTACAATTGATCACAAGTTTCTATATCGTAAGCTCAAGGGACTTTTTCTCCAATGGTTCCAGAATTATTTGCCAGATAGATATCAAAGTGTTCAAACAAACAACATATTTTTAAGTTGGTTACAAAACAAATTACAAGTACTGCTAATTGATACACATCACCGATTTAATTAAAACTTAAAGAATATTTAAAAAAAACACCTCTTTTTCCAGACAACAGATATGTAATAGCAATAACTTTGAACCTAAAAAACAATAAATTAGTCTTTCTGAAAACTTTTTTGCTCTGCTTATATTCATTAAGTTTACTTTAAAGGTCGACAAAACCGCCTTGATTAATTTAAACAATCAGACGAAAGTGTTGAGTTCTCAGTAAAAAAAATTTTCCGGTCATGATATTTTTGTCTACGAACTTTCGCATGCGTTTGGTTTGCTTAACAACCTGTACCGCACCGAGCACCCATGGATCATAATCTATTATTTTGCCATAATATGGTCAGTATTTATAAAATTACAAAAAAATCTATTATAATTCCTTGAAAATGTATTATAATCCTAAAAAAATTTAATGTCAATATAATCCATTATAATTAATTATATCTAATATTTATCTAATATACTTTAATCCTAATATTTTGTATGCCAATATAAAACATTGTAATTGATTTTAATCGATTATGATTGATTTTTTCGAGGGGTTAATCATGATATTTACAATTTTCTCAAAGCTATCTCATTTCGTGTATAGTGCAGTTGCTATGTATTCCGTCTCATAAAAAGTTACATTGTTACATTTCACATAAAAAACTTATATTTTTTGTCTCTACTTTTTAATTTCATCTCAGTTTATCCCCCTTTACTTTACCCCCCCCCCACCCCTCCTCCGCCATTTGCCCCCCCCCCCCCTTATGGATGAACATTGGGGATCTTATTTATTGGTAGACTTTGGAGGAGGGGGGTTAATGATTGTCACATCCCCCAGTTTAGCCCCACACCTCCCCCCAGCTTACCCACCACCGTTTTATAGAATTTAGTTCTAAAAATAAAACTGATTATATTTGATTATAATGGCAATATAATCGATTTCGTGGTCTGAATTTTACATCTTTAATGGATTATAATGGATTATTTTTGTCTCGGGAATCCATTATAAACAATTAGAATCCATGGGCATTCGCTGCGAGATATGCAGCTTTTATTTTCAATCAACCACTAGAAAGACAAATATTAAAAATAAATTTTGTGCAAAGTCAGTGATCACCAGAAAACTGTAATGAAATTAGCTTCAATGAAATTTACTAATTAAAATTGAAAGATATTTATAGATTTGAAAAATTCGAGTTTACTAAATGTATTTTAGTAAACATTTTACTTATGTCTTTCCTAAAAATTTGGATAGATATACCAAAGCTTGCCAGTCAGGGTTGCAAACTCATGCTGAAAATTGGTCGTTTGAAATTTCAGGTTATCGAGAAAAAAGCTTTGAATTTTTTTTGAGAGATTTTTTATTCTTAGAAAAACAATTTTCAAAGTTTTTTTTTCAATTTAAGTATTGGATGAATGCTGTCGAGTACGCCAGGAAAAACAGTGAAAAAATATTCAAAAAACGACCGTCTGGACTTTCTGTTTTGTGCGAAAAGCTTTTTTAAAACAAAAATATTGAATTCTGGGCATAAATACCGAATTTTTAAACTATTTTTTCCTTTCTGATTGATGTCTTGCAACTGATATAATTGGCTCACATTGCGTGGAAAGATGCGCAATTTGAACTGACAGCTTTTCTTGATTTTTTTCTCTATACTTTCATTTCAATTTGGTTTTGCATTTCATGATATCCAAAAATCTAAAATTTTTAATTATGTTGAAATTGGCAGCCCTTAAGTGGGCTCGAACAATGCCTTTTTGTTATCCTCTCCACTATTTAATTGCTACTTATGTGTACTGACGACATAAAACGAATTTAATTCCGAAAAGTTTTATGTTATATGGTGAATTCAATTTACTTTCTTCATTGATATTAACTGGGCTAAGTAGTTTATAAGTAATTGACTTCAGGTTTTTTTAACTCGCGCTTTTATTTCAAAAGTTTTGCATTTTCTGGCGTTTTCAATCAGCTATTCAAACAATCATACTTATTTTGATTTAAAAAATAATAATAAAACATTTTTGATTTTTGACTTATTATTTTATTTTAACCACTTCCCAGGATCAAGAAAAAGAGGCGCAACTTAATGATCAGGAATGTGAAGATGGAATCAGGAGATGTCACCATCAGCATAACCACAACCACAACCACTCCAAGATCAGACCAGGCACCGCCCCCCTCGTGAGTCCAGGGTGGCAGAGACGCATGCAGGACCAAGCCGAGTCACATCTGTAGGTCTACATGGGCTGATAAAAACTGATATCATAATAAATCATGACGAATTCTGCTTCAATGGATAAAAAGGATTCGCACATATTGAATGGGTTTTTTTCAAGTTTAAATTTTTTTAAATAAAGCCTTGGACTCTTTAAAGCCCCCTTCCCCTCTGGAACCGAAAAAAAAGAGTTTGAGCGTGAACCAATAATTTTAAAAAACAATGAAACCAAATAAGTAATTTTGTTCAAGTTCACAGAGGGGAGGATTCAAATTATCTGAGGGGAGGATGTTAACTTGATCCTATGCTCCTTAGAATCTTCAAACTGTTACTCTTTTATTCATTTATAACAATTTCAGTGAAGACATTTCCACTCGTGTGTTTCTACCCGACACCAACTCATTTGGGGAAGGTGCTGATACTATTCATGAAGAGGAGAAGATATTTGTGAGTACAGTAGCGTGCCGAGATGTGGACGGGAAGGGGGGGGGTTGGGGTTGACTGCTTCTTTTTCAAATTCTGGTTGCTAAATTAACTTTACGACATCCATTTTTGGCTGACCAACCTCAAAAACGTTCTAAAGGCACTTTCGGCGCCAATATAACTAATTTTGAGAGTATTTAATCCCCACCCCAATACCGATTGAAACATTTGCTGGTAATTTTTTATGGATTTATATTTACTTTGATGCGTGTTAATTAGATTTAATTAGGCTTATTGACTATTTTTACTCTAAATTGACTTGGGTTGATTAATTTAAATGATTGCGGCTTGTTTAGGATCCTAAACAGCTGTACCACTACACCCCACGCAAACACCAGGACGACTATCCCCCCTGCAACCACGCACACGGACCATACGGACTCAAGTGAGTTCTATCACGCCAAATACAACACCCCCCCCCACACACACACATACACACTTGCATACATACACACACATACACACTTGCATACACACACACACACACACACACAATAAACCGCTAAGTAGGTCAAAATTTCAAACTCAAAAGAAGTTCCCGAAACAAAAAAAGTCGTTTTAGTGCATGGTTGATTCAAGAACACTCTTATAATAGTTTTCATAGAAACTAGAGTCCTTCTCATAGTTAAATGTCATTATTGCATTTGATATTTCTAATGAATATGCTGTACATTGATGTTTTGTTCAGATATTGGATCGATGAAATCACAAAACGCATTCATCAGAAGCAGAAAGCGAAGCTGGGGAAGAACTACAAGGCCAAGCCACCAAAACCCAAAAAACCAGGTATGAATATTATATAATAACCCTCGTATCAGCGTCAGAATGTAATCTTTTTTCTCTTCAATTTTTTCACAGAAGATCAAAATAATGCCTCTGATCTTGTTCAAAATCTTGCTGAAATTTTTATACTCGATCTGAAATTTTTATGCTCGATCACGTTTACATTCTTTATTGTGGATTCTAATGAGATGCACTGTGAGTGGGCTTAAATTAGTTTTTTAGGGTGAAACTTAAATAGAAGAAGAAACTTTAATTGAACTTTTTAATAAAGATGTCAAATAAAAACTTAATTTTTTGAGCTTAAATCAATGTTTTGTAGTCCTATAGAAGATATGCTTGATTATCACTCCGGCTAAAGGGATTTAATTCTGAACATTTTTCTTCATTTTTCTCTTTAAACTTTTCTTGACGCGGACTAGTTTTTTTTGAACTCTAAGGAACTACTTTTAAATGTCGTATTAGAACCTAAATCACTTCTAAAAAGGGGCTTCAAAATAAAGCCACAATCGATTGCCCTTAAATGTTTCTTTGAGGAAATTGGTTATGCGAGGAAACAAAACCCTACGCCATAATTCCTTCCCATTCTACAATGCCTAACTTCAAGTCATAATTTAGAAATGGCATTTGTTTTTATGTATTTTGGGGTATGTGTCGATTGATGTTTAGACTTAGTGATTCCGATATGATCAAGTGAGTGAAGGGATCTGATTGGTTGATTGATGATGATGCTCCCCCTGTTCTGTTCCAGCTCCCCCATTCGTGCGCAGTGATAGTACAGAGAGAATCATGCAGATGGAGACCAATTTGAAACAACTCATCAGAGGTGTGGTATTATATCCAATTAGTAACTCTGTCTCAGAAGAAAAATATTGGGAAGTTTTTGAATGGTGTAGTTTTTTCAAAAAGGTATTTTTTGAAAATTTCGTTTTTTTTTGCAATTATTAGTGTATTCTGTTCTATGTTAACTTTTCTAGCCAATTTGGTTTCAAACTATCGTTATTACACCTGCTGTTAAATTAAAAGTTGATTTTTCAAACGATTGAAGATTTTACAAAAATTGCATTGGCTTAGGAATCTATATGCTCTGAAGGATTTTCAGTGTTTTTCATTTCTGTCTAAGTTAATTGTAATTTTTTTTTGAAAATGGGCAAATAAGTTTTGAAAAAAATAAGAGTGTGTGATGATAAGAACTCATAAAACGGTAAAATGAGACTTAAGAACGCGCTTACAATGTGCCAATATCCGTCAAAATCCGGTCATGATATTTTGATTGATTCTAGTTTGTTTGTATTACAGTTTGTGGAATTTTTCATAATTGCTGTCATCCAATTTTAGAGCAAAACTCTTTATCGTTAAACAAAACTTCAAAAAACCGCTATGTTTTTCTCAAATTGCTAATGTGTTATTTGAATTTTAGATACTTAACAGACTTTTAAATTTTAAAATAGATTCAATTGTGTCATCTTTGAACTGAGAAGTTTTCACAAAGTTAACACATGCACATATATCCTTATTGAAGGTCAAATGATTTTGTTAAACCGATTGGGACACTTTTTAGAGTTTTTATCAAATCATTATTAGCATTGCGATAATCATTATATAATGTGACTTCATCAGCAAAAAGAACAAGGTTTGAACTATTGCAACATCAGGCACATCGTTGGTATATAAAGAAAAAAAGCAAAGGTCCCAAAACGGAAATTTGGGGCACACCAAATCGGATTGGTATAACAAACGAAATTTCGCTGCCATGATTAACATGTTTACGATCAGTTAAACAATTCTTATAAAAAATTGGTTAAATTTTCCTCAAAAACTAAAGCAGTACAGTTTTTTTAAACAAAATGGTGTAATATGTTGTGTCAAATGCATCTCTTAAGATCAACAACACTAATTTTTCCGAAAAACTTTTCGTCAATAGAATTTTTTCAAGAACTCTGTGAAACAAAACAAAGCATGAACACATGATCGCAGGGTTGGAACCCAAACTGCTTCATTTTTAAAAAGCGTTTCTTTTTAATGAACGACATTAGTCGTTTGTATAATTTTTTCAGTAATTTTGAAATAGAGCTGAATAGGCTGACGGGTTTCTAAAGATCACCACTGACCTTTGCCACTTTAAGACGATCCGGTAAACCGCTGCATCTAAAGATTCAAAAAAATTTTCAGCAAGATGCTGACTGTTACTCTAATCATGAACAGAACTATTGCTGTATTAGACACAAATAAATAGAATTTCAAAGGTGGTGGGAATTATTCAAACTCACATGTGCTGGAAAAAAAACGAAAAATACTTTGGCTCTTTATCTTTTCCCTCGCCTGCCACTTTATACTTAGTAAACTTCTGATCACAATTCACGCGGCGTACGGACAAATTTTGGTATAGCAAACATATTTGGCGTTTTTAGATAGGACTGTTAAACCAATCGTTACTCCAAAAGCTTAATCTTATGTTAGGTGGGTTTTTGGTGGTGATCCAATATTTTCAACCTTTTCCTATTCAGGTCAAACTGAAGGACGGACAAGAGTGTGGGTGCACAAGGTCAGACACCGCAACAACCGCAACAGACACTGGGGATGAAGGGGAGGGAGAGGGACTGAATGGTGGGAAAACGAGGGAGGGAAGTGGGGGTGTCGACGGGGCTCTGAGTTGTGTGTCTCCGCCCAAAACCAGACTGCACATCAGTACAAAGCAGGAAATTTTGAGAGGTAGAAAAAAAATTTAAATTTCATGTTGCCAAGAAAAATTATGAATATGTTTGTGGAAAAGTTTTTGATTTGGCACAACCAACCATAGACAGTTATTTGATTTTTGCAAACCCATTTTTTGAAAAACTCCTCATTGATGGCTAAACTTAAGATCATTTATTCACGAGGGATAGGACCAACATACGAGCTGTACAGCTCATCACGGCGAACCGCTGTTGTGCCCCTGCTTAAGAACTACATGCAATTTTTTTTGGTTATTTTTCTGGGCTGGATAATGTTGCCTCACCCTAAAGCAACGAGCACGGATCATGGTGGGCCTCGAACATCCGACCTTTCGATAGAAACGCTTAAAGAACGCTTAAAAATTCGAAACTCCCAAAGAACGCTTATAAATTCTGGCAATAGTGATAAAAAAAAAGTTTTAGACAGTGTTATTGCATTTCAATGATTCTAAAACAAAGAACAGAAGTGATATGTGAGCTAATTCCGGCTCTTCACTTTACCGTTGCTTAGCCTTTTACCTTGAGCAGCCGTGGCCGAGTGGAGTAAGGGGGGTTGAGACAAGAAAAAACAAAAAAAAATCATTTTGTGATTTTCTTTTTACCCTCGTGATAGTTTCGTTTGTTGTCCTGTTAGTGTACAAGAGAGCTAGTGGGGATGACATTGAGATTGGGGTGAAAATGGACAGCGAAGGGTACCAGCGCAATCTGCAGTGGCGACAACAACAACAGCAGCAACAACAACAACAGCAGCAAATCAAGGTTAAATTTGGTTATTTTTGAGGTTGTTTCTATCGTTTGCAAATTGTGGATCTCTTGAGTTATCCCCCACCATTCTTTGCCTCACTTTTTGAGTGATTGTTTTTTTTTGCTTAAAATGATGGCGAAGGTCAGTGAATCTTAGAAATGCAAAGAATGTTACAGCTCCATACCTTACCTGTCTCCCATAACTAACAGTGGAAATTAGAAAATAAACTGAATTTAGCAAATATGATACCGCTGCATAAAAAAGGAAGCAAGTTAATTCTTATCGCTCAATACTTAATCAGTTGCAGAGTTTGAGAGTGCACAATTACTTCTTTAAACTCTATCTAAAAAAACTAGACTGCGAGCAATTCGATCTAAAAAAACTAGACAGCGAGCAATTCGATCTAAAAAAACTAGACAGCGAGCAATTCGATTTCTGGTGGCAATTGCTTGTTTTCTTGATCTAGCAAAAGTAAAAACAAAAACTCGGACAGGTCAAAAAGACTATTTGAGTGGTTATTTTTTGTTTGAATTGAAAAAAGTACAATTGATCACAAGTTTCTATATCGTAAGCTCAAGGGACTTTTTCTCCAATGGTTCCAGAATTATTTGCCAGATAGATATCAAAGTGTTCAAACAAACAACATATTTTTAAGTTGGTTACAAAACAAATTACAAGTACTGCTAATTGATACACATCACCGATTTAATTAAAACTTAAAGAATATTAAAAAAAAACACCTCTTTTTCCAGACAACAGATATGTAATAGCAATAACTTTGAACCTAAAAAACAATAAATTAGTCTTTCTGAAAACTTTTTTGATCTGCTTATATTCATTAAGTTTACTTTAAAGGTCGACAAAACCGCCTTGATTAATTTAAACAATCAGACGAAAGTGTTTAGTTCTCAGTAAAAAAAATTTTCCGGTCATGATATTTTTGTCTACGAACTTTCGCATGCAATTGGTTTGCTTAACAACCTGTACCGCACCGAGCACCCATAGATCATAATCTATTATTTTGCCATAATATGGTCAGTATTTATAAAATTACAAAAAAATCTATTATAATTCCTTGAAAATGTATTATAATCCTAAAAAAATTTAATGTCAATATAATCCATTATAATTAATTATATCTAATATTTATCTAATATACTTTAATCCTAATATTTTGTATGCCAATATAAAAAATTGTAACTGATTTTAATCGATTATGATTGATTTTTTTGAGGGGTTAATCATGATATTTACAATTTTCTCAAAGCTATCTCATTTCGTGTATAGTGCAGTTGCTACGTATTCCGTCTCATAAAAAGTTACATTGTTACATTTCACATAAAAAACTTATATTTTTTGTCTCTACTTTTTAATTTCATCTCAGTTTATCCCCCTTTACTTTACCCCCCCCCCCCCCACCCCTCCTCCGCCATTTGCCCCCCCCCCCCTTATGGATGAACATTGGGGATCTTATTTATTGGTAGACTTTGGAGGAGGGGGGTTAATGATTGTCACATCCCCCAGTTTAGCCCCACACCTCCCCCCAGCTTACCCACCACCGTTTTATAGAATTTAGTTCTAAAAATAAAACTGATTATATTTGATTATAATGGCAATATAATCGATTTCGTGGTCTGAATTTTACATCTTTAATGGATTATAATGGATTATTTTTGTCTCGGGAATCCATTATAAACAATTAGAATCCATGGGCATTCGCTGCGAGATATGCAGCTTTTATTTTCAATCAACCACTAGAAAGACAAATATTAAAAATAAATTTTGTGCAAAGTCAGTGATCACCAGAAAACTGTAATGAAATTAGCTTCAATGAAATTTACTAATTAAAATTGAAAGATATTTATAGATTTGAAAAATTCGAGTTTACTAAATGTATTTTAGTAAACATTTTACTTATGTCTTTCCTAAAAATTTGGATAGATATACCAAAGCTTGCCAGTCAGGGTTGCAAACTCATGCTGAAAATTGGTCGTTTGAAATTTCAGGTTATCGAGAAAAAAGCTTTGAATTTTTTTTGAGAGATTTTTTATTCTTAGAAAAACAATTTTCAAAGTTTTTTTTTCAATTTAAGTATTGGATGAATGCTGTCGAGTACGCCAGGAAAAACAGTGAAAAAATATTCAAAAAACGACCGTCTGGACTTTCTGTTTTGTGCGAAAAGCTTTTTTAAAACAAAAATATTGAATTCTGGGCATAAATACCGAATTTTTAAACTACTTTTCCCTTTCTGATTGATGTCTTGCAACTGATATAATTGGCTCACATTGCGTGGAAAGATGCGCAATTTGAACTGACAGCTTTTCTTGATTTTTTTCTCTATACTTTCATTTCAATTTGGTTTTGCATTTCATGATATCCAAAAATCTAAAATTTTTAATTATGTTGAAATTGGCAGCCCTTAAGTGGGCTCGAACAATGCCTTTTTGTTATCCTCTCCACTATTTAATTGCTACTTATGTGTACTGACGACATAAAACGAATTTAATTCCGAAAAGTTTTATGTTATATGGTGAATTCAATTTACTTTCTTCATTGATATTAACTGGGCTAAGTAGTTTATAAGTAATTGACTTCAGGTTTTTTTAACTCGCGCTTTTATTTCAAAAGTTTTGCATTTTCTGGCGTTTTCAATCAGCTATTCAAACAATCATACTTATTTTGATTTAAAAAATAATAATAAAACATTTTTGATTTTTGACTTATTATTTTATTTTAACCACTTCCCAGGATCAAGAAAAAGAGGCGCAACTTAATGATCAGGAATGTGAAGATGGAATCAGGAGATGTCACCATCAGCATAACCACAACCACAACCACTCCAAGATCAGACCAGGCACCGCCCCCCTCGTGAGTCCAGGGTGGCAGAGACGCATGCAGGACCAAGCCGAGTCACATCTGTAGGTCTACATGGGCTGATAAAAACTGATATCATAATAAATCATGACGAATTCTGCTTCAATGGATAAAAAGGATTCGCACATATTGAATGGGTTTTTTTCAAGTTTAAATTTTTTTAAATAAAGCCTTGGACTCTTTAAAGCCCCCTTCCCCTCTGGAACCGAAAAAAAAGAGTTTGAGCGTGAACCAATAATTTTAAAAAACAATGAAACCAAATAAGTAATTTTGTTCAAGTTCACAGAGGGGAGGATTCAAATTATCTGAGGGGAGGATGTTAACTTGATCCTATGCTCCTTAGAATCTTCAAACTGTTACTCTTTTATTCATTTATAACAATTTCAGTGAAGACATTTCCACTCGTGTGTTTCTACCCGACACCAACTCATTTGGGGAAGGTGCTGATACTATTCATGAAGAGGAGAAGATATTTGTGAGTACAGTAGCGTGCCGAGATGTGGGCGGGAAGGGGGGGGGGTTGGGGTTGACTGCTTCTTTTTCAAATTCTGGTTGCTAAATTAACTTTACGACATCCATTTTTGGCTGACCAACCTCAAAAACGTTCTAAAGGCACTTTCGGCGCCAATATAACTAATTTTGAGAGTATTTAATCCCCACCCCAATACCGATTGAAACATTTGCTGGTAATTTTTTATGGATTTATATTTACTTTGATGCGTGTTAATTAGATTTAATTAGGCTTATTGACTATTTTTACTCTAAATTGACTTGGGTTGATTAATTTAAATGATTGCGGCTTGTTTAGGATCCTAAACAGCTGTACCACTACACCCCACGCAAACACCAGGACGACTATCCCCCCTGCAACCACGCACACGGACCATACGGACTCAAGTGAGTTCTATCACGCCAAATACAACACCCCCCCCCCCCCCCCCACACACACACACACATACACACTTGCATACATACACACACATACACACTTGCATACACACACACACACACACACACACACAATAAACCGCTAAGTAGGTCAAAATTTCAAACTCAAAAGAAGTTCCCGAAACAAAAAAAGTCGTTTTAGTGCATGGTTGATTCAAGAACACTCTTATAATAGTTTTCATAGAAACTAGAGTCCTTCTCATAGTTAAATGTCATTATTGCATTTGATATTTCTAATGAATATGCTGTACATTGATGTTTTGTTCAGATATTGGATCGATGAAATCACAAAACGCATTCATCAGAAGCAGAAAGCGAAGCTGGGGAAGAACTACAAGGCCAAGCCACCAAAACCCAAAAAACCAGGTATGAATATTATATAATAACCCTCGTATCAGCGTCAGAATGTAATCTTTTTTCTCTTCAATTTTTTCACAGAAGATCAAAATAATGCCTCTGATCTTGTTCAAAATCTTGCTGAAATTTTTATACTCGATCTGAAATTTTTATGCTCGATCACGTTTACATTCTTTATTGTGGATTCTAATGAGATGCACTGTGAGTGGGCTTAAATTAGTTTTTTCAAGTTGGACAGGGTGAAACTTAAATAGAAGAAGAAACTTTAATTGAACTTTTTAATAAAGATGTCAAATAAAAACTTAATTTTTTGAGCTTAAATCAATGTTTTGTAGTCCTATAGAAGATATGCTTGATTATCACTCCGGCTAAAGGGATTTAATTCTGAACATTTTTCTTCATTTTTCTCTTTAAACTTTTCTTGACGCGGACTAGTTTTTTTTGAACTCTAAGGAACTACTTTTAAATGTCGTATTAGAACCTAAATCACTTCTAAAAAGGGGCTTCAAAATAAAGCCACAATCGATTGCCCTTAAATGTTTCTTTGAGGAAATTGGTTATGCGAGGAAACAAAACCCTACGCCATAATTCCTTCCCATTCTACAATGCCTAACTTCAAGTCATAATTTAGAAATGGCATTTGTTTTTATGTATTTTGGGGTATGTGTCGATTGATGTTTAGACTTAGTGATTCCGATATGATCAAGTGAGTGAAGGGATCTGATTGGTTGATTGATGATGATGCTCCCCCTGTTCTGTTCCAGCTCCCCCATTCGTGCGCAGTGATAGTACAGAGAGAATCATGCAGATGGAGACCAATTTGAAACAACTCATCAGAGGTGTGGTATTATATCCAATTAGTAACTCTGTCTCAGAAGAAAAATATTGGGAAGTTTTTGAATGGTGTAGTTTTTTCAAAAAGGTATTTTTTGAAAATTTCGTTTTTTTTTGCAATTATTAGTGTATTCTGTTCTATGTTAACTTTTCTAGCCAATTTGGTTTCAAACTATCGTTATTACACCTGCTGTTAAATTAAAAGTTGATTTTTCAAACGATTGAAGATTTTACAAAAATTGCATTGGCTTAGGAATCTATATGCTCTGAAGGATTTTCAGTGTTTTTCATTTCTGTCTAAGTTAATTGTAATTTTTTTTTGAAAATGGGCAAATAAGTTTTGAAAAAAATAAGAGTGTGTGATGATAAGAACTCATAAAACGGTAAAATTGCAATTGAACGAATTTGGAGGCCAACATCTAGTCAAGTTCTCTAAAAAAAAATGAAAAATTTTCGAGCCAGTTTTTCTCAACTGCGGAAATTTAATTTCAAAAGTGAAAAAAGGTTATGGTACAGTTTTCCGGTAAAGTTTGGCGCTGAGTGTTTTTTTTTCAGCGAATTCTGACTCCGTTGAGGAAAACAGATAGTGATCAGGACTGAGAGCACTATAATATGATACCACATATACCATCCTATGTGCTTTCTTTAACGTAGTCAGAATTCGCTGGAAAAAACTACACTCTACGTCATAGTTGCTTAACAATTCGTTAAAATGTCGGAACAAAAAATTTTACCAAAAAAAAACTCCCCATACATTTTTTTTCGTTTTCAGAAGACAAATGAAATTTTTGCGCTATAAATATATATTTTTTTCATCGTGTGTTTTTTTTTCAGACAACGAAAAGGCAGCTAGAATTGAGGCCAGACTGAAGGCATCCCATCTGGACGAAGACACCAAAGACGAACTCATGTTCTTGGGCCTCATGGACTGTCTGCACTTAAAGCACTAAATCAACCTGTAGAAAAGAGCAATCATTATGATTGTTTTTTTCAAGTATATTTAATACAATTGATGAAAATTTGAAAGTTAAAGTAGGATCTTTGTCTTGCGCAGAGCGGCAGAAAAACTTGTAGGCATGAGACTATAGTCGTGGAACCGTCGCTCGCTCGCAAATAGCCTTCGGCTGTTCGTCAAAAATGTTCCAATATATGCCGAAAGTTCGATTGTTTGGTATTTCATTCGGATTTTCAATGATCTTGAGAAAAAAAGTCAAGATCAAGAACTTACATTAGAACGTTCGGTTGCACCACGAAATGACCAGATATGGTACCATGATCGGCAGCGCATTAAATTGAACAGCATCATTGACGGATAATGATCCCTTAAAACTGCAATTACTTAACCTCTTAAATTATTAGGTATAATAGAGCGGGTATAAATTAAAAGATAAAGCGGGTATTTAGCCAAAAATGACCACAAAAAAAAAGAGTTTTGAATGCTCAAAAACGAGTACAATGGCTGAATGCGATGTCTCACATGATGGAATGGGATATGCCGTTAAGTAGCATTCAGAATCTGGTTCACAAGCTTAAATTATACACTACTAAGTATTCAAATACGTCATTCAAATAAGTTCACTCAATTGGAAAATCGGAATTACTTAATGTAGCCTAGTCTTTATTGTTCCGACTTTTGATACGAAAGTAACGGAACATTTGTGCTCGGGGTGGTTTTTTTCTTCAGACAAATTTTGACTGGTTTAAAGATTGCCAATCGTATAAAGACTACGACGTGTAAACGGAACATAATCCGTCTTAAAATCGTTCCAAAATGGTTGCAGGAAGCTTATTTGAAAAAATGATTTGTAACTAGGAGCAAAATTTATCACTTTGTATCGTATATTGCGTGTGAGGGTGTTGGTTTTCACAAAAAATCTCAAATAAAAAAATATTCATTTCACTTCTAGTGAATTTTTTTTTCAAATTATTACTGCCCCAAAGGCCTTATAAGGCAGTCGGAACAATAAGTGACACTATGAATTCTCATGTGTTTGGTTTTATTGTGGAACCATGGAAGTGACTCTCTCGGTGTTAGTCGTGGAGTTCCAAACATCCGTTAAGCAGCGAACTGTTGTCAGTTTTGTTTCATCGGTATTCGACCCTATTGGTTTGGTGGCTCCCTACACGATAGGGACCCGCCTGCTTCTTAAAGACATTTGGCATAAAACTGAGCAAAAATGGATTAATCCCTTACCAGAAGCGCTCCGAAAGCAATACATTGGGTTTGAGTGGCATTCAAGTATGTTTGTTTTAGGAGAAATAGCCATTCCCCGAGGCTTTTTCAGTAATCAAATCGATCAATGTAAGCTCCATATGCTTGAGGATAGCCTGCAAGATGTGTTTTGCGCGGTTGGTTTTCTTTGTGCCCGGTTTATAGAGACTCAAAAAACTGACTTTGCGATCGTTTTTAGTAAGCAAAGTCAGCACCAATGAAAATTTTGTCCATTCCGAAACTGGATTTGCAGGCAACCTTGATGGCGTCTAGGTTGTAGGATGATATACTCCGGCCTTTTTCAATCAATGTAACCCGCATCTTCTTGTGGACCGATAGCACCACGGTGTTACAATGGTTTCACTCCGTCGATAAAATACCAATTTTTGTCGCAATCCGTGTTTGTGAAATAGAGTAACTCACCACTGTGGATCAATGGTTTCAGGTGAAAAGTGGAAAAAATGCCGCGGACACTGGGACACGCGGAATATCGGTGGAATTTCCTTGAAGAAAGCAGTTGGGTCAGGGGTCCAAGTTTCCTTTTAGGCAATGAGTAGCATTTCAAACCAAATCTGGATGTTGTTGACGTATCGATTTTCAATCAGTTTTTATGGACTGGGCTATATGTTCAACGAATTTCAACGGGTCGTAAACTCACTTTGAAATAACATTCCGTGCACAAATTGTTATATACACGACATACTGTTGGCATCAAAGTGATCTTTAGATGAACATAAATCATTTGTAAATGTAATTCTAACAATCCTAGACAAAAACAATAGGGCGGTGGAATGGGGAAAATTTGCATTCTCTCAGATCGAAATACAATGGCTAGGTTTTAGGATATCGGGAGATGGAATACGACGGTTGGTCGGTAAAGGTAAAGCAGACGCTGTCAAAAGCCTTCCAATGCCCAAGAACATTACAAATTGCATTTTTTTTTCAACTCGTTCAGCCGGTACGTAAAGTTTGTCCGAACTTATTGTCTCTGATCTCTCCACTTAACCCCTTATTTGAACAGAAAATCATGGAATAATAGCCATTCGATAGCTTTTAAAAAGTTGGAGTCTGAAACTTTAAATATTACAGAAAACAGCCACTTTGACATTAAAGAAAAAACGAGATTAAAAACCGACCCTTCCCATGGTGCAACTTTGGAACAATTTCAAGGGGGCAGCAGAGAACAATTGCATTTGATTCAAGATTTCTAAGCAATCACGAAAAGAAATATTCCATCAATGATTTTGAACTGCTGGGCTTATTGTGGGCCTCAGAACAATTTAGGAACAATCTAAACGGTGCAGATTTCGCAAAAAACCATAAAGCACTACTTTCGGCTCTTTCATCAAATCTTAGTAGAAAAAAATATGCTATGCATAGCAGACAAACCCGTTGGGTAAACAGAAAATCACTTTTTACCTTAAAAGTTTCTCGTATACCAGGCAAAGACATGGGTTTTACCTATCTTTTATCTAGATAAGTGATAGCCCTCTCCTTCTCCCTTTCTTATTACGACGAAGAGTTTGTAGTTGCTTCAGTGGACAGAATTCAGAATATTTTATCTAATAGAGATTGTTTTAACCCTGTTTAAATAAATTCTGTAGATAGACCGTCGTTCGCTGTGAATACAATCACATTCATTAATAGTTATATCCCGTCGGTAGTTGAAAGTTCAAGCGATCTGATTGGTCAAGATTCCTATAGAAGCTCTTTAGCTTTTTTCAACTATAAAATTATTGCCGCTATCATCTCTTGTATTGCTCAGTCAACAAAAATTGAAATATTTTTCATAACAAAGCAGAAAATTGCTCTTCAAAATGCTTACCTTAGGACAATTCTAAATTCAATTATATAAGCATTACATCCTCGGATAAGGTCCTTTTATATTTTATGATACAATACAATTACTTAACTCCCCAAAAGATGAAATCCATCGGACAGAAAGGATGGACAGAGCTACCGGTCCACTAGTTATCATAACGGAAAAACGGAAGATCTCAATGAAAGTCAAAGACGACTACGTACGACCATGTAAACATCCTGAAGAAATTTGAATCGTAACTGAAGCTACCCAACCCCCCTAATTCCAGAAGAGGACTGTTTAAAGAAACTACTCCAGATAATGACGAGGGATGAAAAAATAAATTGGGACTTAATCCTTACAATCGAAAACGGACGACCAATGGTCATTCAAGGAAGTTAGATGAAAAATTACGAAAAAGGTCTCCAAGTGAACGCCGACCTCTTTTCTTGGATAATAAAATAGATGTGCCAGCAGCCACTTGGGGAAAAAAATTTAGCTCCATGTTACACGAGATACATCCGGACCAATTTGAATGAAGTTCTTGGCCGAATATACCTGGTGGCCTCATATCTTCCGAGAGATATATCATCACGGGAAGTCATGTAATCAGGGCCTGAATTCGGTAAGATCTCGATACGGATCATACCACAAGCTTCCCACGTTAGCGTTCGCGAACGAGGAAATAAACTTAGACTTCGCAGGACCAATTTTTGTTTTGGTGAACAAAAAAAAATATATTTTTCTTTGAGTTGATCTTTTTACAAAGTTTCCCTCGGCGAAACTTGTCAACAACACCACATCAAAATCTATGTCAAATTCTTCGTACAATTTTTTTTTGTAAACGATTACTGTCATCTTCACGGATTTCCATAAGAATTAGACTCGATCATGGTTCTTGTTTTTTAACCCACCGTTTTAAATCCTTTTGTAAAAAAAATCAACATCGAAAGCACTTTCTGTACAATTTGTGATCATAGATCTTAGGAGCTTGTGGAAAGACTTCTATATACCGTTAAATCTAAATTATCGATAATTTCATTCGAATCACCAAAACCTTTGTGAATTTCTTCGATCGAAAATATTATTGGGAACCTCAGCATAACAAACAATTGTCAATCGCATTACCCCCTTTGAGAAAAACGGCGAACACCAGATGGAAAAATCTGATTTCCTTTGATTACCGTTTAGATAAAGGAAAGTCTTTTTTAACTGACCATCGGGTTAGAAACTGGGAACTGCTAGATGAGGCGGAAGACGGCTAACTGGACGCCGACACGGAGATGCAAACAGCTTCAGAGGACAACTTGCCGCTAGCTCTCACACTTTCAAGGACTTACGTGACGGAAACCCATAGCCCGAGCAAAGTCAGCAGGCACACTAAAAACTAGCCTCTAAGGCGGCCAACAGAAGGTCGGCCAACAGAAAAAAAATGCGGACCCTATTTAAACCTGGTGAAGGATAACGTCACTGATTCTTCTGATCATACAATAACGCTCGACAATGGCCCCAATTAACGTAAATCGAACTTGGTTTTCAAAGGAAAACTGCTTGACGGCCCCAAGAAACCCGTCACGAACCCTGCACCCATTGGGCATAACCTAACCTTATCTTCGAGTTTAGCAGGGAAGAGGAAATTATCACCACCGAAGAAGACCATCGGTAGGGACCAAACTCAACTGAGGCAGGGCACTACAGGATTGGTCACTCCTTCTCGAGTTTCCGTGCTACCGACAGAGTCAACAATTGCACACGACTCACCGTGAAATACCTCAGGTTCCTTTTCATCTGTAAACCTTAACTCTTGGGATGGGATAATCAAGGACTACTTTGATGATATGTCAAATATTAACTTGCCGTTCAGACAGCGAGCCGGGTCGGGACCTAACCATTAGTTAAACATTACAGGTGACGACCATATACGCACAATGCTCTCTCCTTCTCCTGGACCCGCAGAACACCCCGTAGACCTGGAAGCTCCCTAATCGGTGACGAGAGAGTGATCAGAAAAGAACCCGATACTCTTAGACACTACCCCTGTAGAACCTTCCCCAGCGGAGTATCAACCAAGGTCGTCGAGACCTCGTAAAACTGTGGGTCCACCCAAATTCTTCGGCGAATGAAGATACATAGATAAAGTCCTCGAAAAATAAGGCCCGCTTACAGAAGTTATCACGTTAGAGGACGATCCACATACTTCCCCGAGGGCAAACGTTTCTTTTAACTCACCTTAAGATTTCCCTACGATACTTGCAGATGTACCTTCGCAAACCACTTTGGTCGCCGAAACTGCTCTATCTTGGTCCTCACAAAAATCCACCACACCGGGACGAGCCAGCCATATCCCGATCCAGACTATACTGGCAATTTCATCATTCGAATCCACTCCCTCGCCTCAACATACAGCAGATTGAAGATTTAGACAAAACTAGCGAAATTGAAGATATAGACAAAACCAGCGAAATATCCTCTACAATCGATTCAGATCTGAAACATCGACCTAACGAATTTAATTAAAAATTCAATTAAAACTCTCAGGACTTTATCAATTTTGTATACTGTTGAATTCTATATTCTTTCTTTTTAGCTTGCCTTTATTATTTTTCTATATTGCTCTGTACATATTAAATGTAAATCTCGTAGTTTAGATTTGTTTTTTTTTCAATCGAGACACCTCTGTAAGTTCTGTATATTCACCCATGTAGATTTGAACGTTCCAAAATTTCAATTGTAGATTTCATTTTTGCTTGCTGTTCTGTTACTCGCTTATGATGCAATAAAATTTCTTCCTACTTTGAAAGGGGAAATGGGTGCATATAGAATTAGTTTTAGTTAATTGTAGTTTTTGAAATTTTTCCGGTAGGAAATGTTGTGATTTGTTTTTATGATTATATCCTTATGACTTTCGGTATTGATTAGATACCAGTCAACACATCGCATGAATTGACCATCGGTTGATCACTGTTAGTTGGTGTTAGTTTTAGAATAGAACGTTTTAATTCACACTTCATTTTACTTCTTTTATTCTGCTTAGTAATTGTACTTAATCTGTACATACATACCTAGATTAATAGAACACTTTATTAGCGTCCTTTATTTCCGAAAATGTTCCAAAGTTTGAAATCTAAAAATTTGGCAATTTCGAATCAAACAGGATTCATTTTAAATCAACTTTCAAAGAAATGCGATGTCTGGCTAGTAGATGCCTTTTTTGTTAAGGTCTTTGAATAGTTTTTGTCTTTATCTGAGATAAAGCTTGATTTTTGAAACTCTTCAATGATTGAAATTTATCTGGTTAACAAATTAACAAAAAAACTAGGATTTCTACCCCTTAGGTAGCAACTGAAAAATCTCCAACCCTGGAAATAGAAACAATTAATAAGCATAAGAGCTTTCTATTGAGAATCATAAATTTGTTGCATTCTGATTGGTCGAAAATTGGAATAACTAAGTTTACATATTAATCTTGCTCGCATTCTTGAAAAAGGGGTGGTGCAGATCCATTTCAATAATGATACAGTTCTAATTTAAATTAATAATTTTGATTTGCGGATTACATAATTTGACAGTATCGTTTGTCTTTATCTGAAAGTTTTGGAGATTTTGTCAATTTTGAAGCTTGATTCGATCCATCTTGTTGCGATGAGTCATCATCAACTGATGACGTAATCGTATCATCCCTCCCTGTTCCTGCCTCATCGAAGCTATCATTATCAGATAGACCGTAAATACTTTTCACATACTTCTGCACTTTCGGGAAGTTCTGTCTAAACTTCTGTGTATCGAACATTTCGTAATAGAGTATACCCGAAACCATGAACCGAAGCCACCCGCTTGTGGGGAAGAATCCTTGTTGGGCGATGATTGGTATGAGCGGTTTGTGTAGTTCGAAGCTGTAAGTGGCTTCCGCTTTGCAGTTATGGCTGATTCGGTATTGCTCTGACAAACAAATTATGACGGCGTACGCGTTCTCAACCGCCTCGGCCATTCTTTCGCAGAGGGATCCCTAAACAACAACAAGATTTGCTCTCTTGATAATAATAAGTGCTCAGGATCAATCCGCACGCAATCATCAAACTTCTTTGTGAAATTGACTGAACCAAAAAGATGCCACGCATAAAAATTTTTCACTTTCTTTGAAAGTCGGGACAACAACAATGATACAAAACGGCGATACGCTCCGTGAAAAAAAGTACCACATGATCAAAAAAAATTATACATAGCCTCCCGGGTTGACCTCCATAAACCGAAAATGCTTATCTTACATTTCCCCGCATCGAAAATGCTTATCTTACAATTTCCTACATCAAATGTATGGAAAAATGCTAATCATACAGTTTTCCAATGATAACAGCTCAATTGTGCAATCTGACCTATGCAGAAATGTCAACTTTTAAGGCCACTATCGGACTAATATATGAGATGACTGGGTCGGAAAACAGCCAATCGATGACGCCGAAAAGCACATTACTGCCCTATTTTACATTGTAAATCAGTGCCGTTTTCTGCTTCAGAGCGCCGTAGCTTGGCTGACTTCTGACCCAGTCATCTCATATATGATTCCGATGGTGGCCTTAAAATTTGATATTTTTGCATTTCGTGTAGAAGTTCTGAACTTTGATCAGAAATCCAATCAGTGAACTTTAATTACGTATGTGTTGAATATTTTCTGTTTTCTCGCACATGTGAAATTTTGTTTTTTATAGGAATTGAATTTATTCTGATGACAGAACTTGCTTGAACTTGTGGATCACAACTGGAGTATGTATGCTTGGAGAGTGTTTCCAACAACTCCTCCCTTATGGTTTTGGTTCAACTAGGAGTAGGCTTAGGAAAATGTTGCTCTCTCAAGAGTTGAGGAGATTCGCCTACAGATAATGAAGAGTTTGAGGTTCCAACCTCTAAAACCCTCTGATTTTTCTGTTGGTTCTCTTCTTTGTTCAGAGATTGCACGTCTTATGGGTAACTTTAAACGCTAATTGAGCCTCATTTGAGTTTTCAAAAAATGTTTATCTTACCATTTCCCTACATGAAAAAATGCTTATCGTACAATTTCCATATGTGAAAAATGCTTGTCTTACAATTTCAATCTTTGATAAAATGCTTATCTAACAATTTCCATATATGAAAAAATGTTTATCCTACAATTTCCATATTTGAAAAAATGTTTATCCTACGATTTCCATATATGAAAAAATGCTTGTCCTAGAAGTTTTTTTTTACAATTTTCTGAGTCTATGAAACTGTAGGAAATTGTAGGATAAGCATTTTTTCATATATGGAAATTGTAGGATAAGCATTTTTGGTCAACCCGGGCTATATAATTTCAGTTTACGAAAAATTAGAAAAGTAGAAGAAATTACAAAATATTCAACTACTTCACTAGATTACTCAAATTTAACCTCCAGTCGCTCAAAAAAAAAACAAAAAAAAAGATTTTTCTTTAAAACAGAATTATTTTTGGAACTTGAAATACCACTCGAACCACGAAAAAAATAGCTGTTCTAGTGTCATTTTATTGGGATGTATGGAAAAACTGAAACTATTGGGTTATGTGGAATTATCCCAAATTTTTACACAGAAGCGAAGCTGCGCTTCGCACACACGAGTAAGAAAGCGGCAAAGTTCTTGGAGCTTTAAAATGCATAAGAACTGAATTTTGCAATTAGAAATTTGGAATGTAGCACTAGAGGCAACCACACTAGCTTTGCATGTATTGAATTAGAATATATTAAGCCAAACTGCATATAAATTATGCGTTTCACAAACCTCGCGAAGTATATGGAGTTGAAAAAATTCTGAAAACCAATGTTACTTATTGTAGTTCGAAGTTTTTTCGGTTCGAATGAAGAATTAAAGAAGAATCAACATGCTATCAAAAAAAGCAAGCTAGGTTTTCAACACCGCCAAAATTCAGTATCAACAATTTTATCAAATTTCACTAATATTATCAAATAAAAAATGAAAGAGAAGGACTGGGTTTAAAGTCCAACCAAAAATCCTTGCAAGTCGGTCTTAGTGGTAAACAAACTCCAGAGGCGATTTTAGGATTTTCTCGGAGGGTGGAGGTATTCAAAAATTTTGTGGACGTTTTTTTAGGTCGTTCAAATTCATTTTATGAGCACTCCAAAGTTTTTTGAAAAACAGGCCAAAAAAGACGTTTTAGGGCGCTTTTTGGAAAATGTTGACCAGAAAAACTGTTTTTTTTTGGAGAGCGCTCTCTCTTCAAAATTAGTGTATCTTGGGGCCAAAGGCGGCTTTTAATAATATTTGGAGTCAGTCAGCAAAAAATGGATCTGGCGACCTTTTTAGCCGGTAGGGGCAGAATCCTTGAGAAAGGGGGGGCATGTTCCCCTTAAATCCGCTACTGAAACAACCCATGAAAAAATCAGAACACTTTCATGTCAAAAACAGTCATGGAATGAGCAAAACTTTTTTTGCACTTTTTCTGCACGTTCAGGGGGGAAAATCCAGTCTCCTATAACTTAAAAAAATGTTTTCTTTAAATGAACGGCTTGCTTTTGAATGTTCTAATCGAATCACAAAACACTTTGAAAATGAAGTTGTAGGGTTATTGGTTTGAATAGAAGCTTTTCCTCTTTTTTTCTCATCTTGCGGACAAGTATAAAGTTGAAGTGAATAGAAAGCTGCAAAAAATCTTTTGCAAATTTCATAAAGGATTAACAAACTTTATCATCGGTAACATCGGTAACATCGGCCATAAACATCTGCATAACTCAAAGCAAGCTGCAAAAATGGCCAGTATTTGTCCTTGAGACACATTGCTCTTTTTAAAGGTCAGCCTTAATCAAGGCTGAACCAAATTAGAGCGAAGAGACGGTTAAAATAGGTTTTGGGGGGTTCGAACCTGGTTACGGAGCGTCCCATCAAGTTCGGGGCATATTTGAGTTCTAGAAAGGAAATAACCTAGTCCGGATTCGAACCGGCGCCGAACCCGCGGGGACCCACCCTGTATACGCTTGGCTACTGTCCTTATATGCATTTATGCATTTACATTTTGGTTCAATTTTTTATTCTCATGCATTTATATTTATATGCATTTATACTCTCGCTTAGATTTGCGCTGCAACATCCTGCACCCCTAAACAAGGAAGAACGGGAGCAAGCTTTACGGTCGGGCGGGTCAGTTCGCTCGTAACGGTCTTTATGTCGGCGGATCTCGCGCATCCGTCCTTGCCATAGTTCAGTCTTAGAATACGTGCGAGTGGATAATGTCCACGTGGAGTGTCAGGCTCTATGACCCAAACCAAGTCGCCGGCTTCCAACTTAACGTCTGACTGGTTGTGCCACTTTGCCCTCCCATTGGGGGAAGGAACGTATTCCCACATTCACCGTGTCCATATTGCGTTAGCGTGTGATTGCGCTCTGGCGAACCGCTTCTTATGGTCAAAGTTTTCTTCGAAACTTAGCGACGGAAAACTCGCTGCGTGTTGACCAAGGATAAAATGATTCGGGGTCAACGCCTCTAGATCTAGCGGATTGGAACTAACGGCTGTTATCGGTCTAGCGTTAAGTGAAGGCTCAACAAGGCACAGCGTGGTTCTTAGAACCTCCTCAGTTACTCTTCTGTTGCCTAGGATGTCATACAAAACACGCTTGACACTAATCGCTCCCAGGAGCCACAATGGTGCGGTGCGCTGGGTGGATTGAATTTCTACTTGTTCCCTTTCTGAAAAAAAACAGTGGGTGCCAGCTTGTTCCAACTCTCAACGCAAGCTAATAGCTCTTTCTGAGCGCCAACAAAGTTCGTGCCGTTGTCGGACATGATGGTAGTCGGAGTGCCGCGACGTGCAATAAACCTCTCCACGCACATCACACAAGAGCTTGAGCTTGTGTCGAGCGAGGGGACCACTTCAATGTGCACCGCTCTAGTGGTGAGGCAGGTGAACAAAAAACCCCACCTCTTTTCCGTACTTCTCCGGGTTGGAACTAGAAACGGCCCAAAGTAGTCGACACCTGTGTTAGAGAAAGGAGGTTGCTTGTAACCCAGCCTTTCAATGGGCAGATCAGCCATAATATGAGTTACGGTTTGCGCTTTGCGTTTTCGGCACGCAACGCAAGTATTTTCAATGTTTCGCAGCAACCATCGCAAACTCAACACAACGTATTTCAAATTAACCACCGCACGCATATAATCCAAGCCTTGATGTAAATTCCTAACGTGCAAGTGTTTAACCAATAACGAACACTCAAGTATAATCGGATGCTTGCTATCAAAATCGGAATTAACCAAGCGGCTGATGCGCCCAGTCGAACGAAGGATGCCAGCTGGTCCAATGAACGGCGAATACTTGGAATAATACTATTCCTCATAATCACTTTACCGGATCTTAGTAGTTTCAGCTCACTAGGGAATGTCTCACCTCACCCTGGGACAGTAAATGAGCTTCTGTTCAGCAATATCCATTTCACATGGGTCTGTAATTTCTAATATACTCGACCGGAAATGTTTATGGGATGGCAGCCATCTTAACAAAAATGCTACTTTGCATTTGTATTTTACAACTGAATTGAATCTCTTCCATTTTCCGAAGGGAAGATTTCTTTCTGTCAAAACATCGACGACAAAATTTGACGAATTTTCCAGACAAATGTCGATATCACATGATGGTCCTTTGAGTCTTATTTTATCAATAACCCTTGTATTGGGCTTGAACGGCCAATCAGTCGTTCTCAGTATACTAGGGCCATTAACCCTGCTGCTTTCCTTGAGGTCTTCCGAAGAAATCTCTCGTATACCAGTATCAGCTAGGTTATCACCGCTAAGTATGTGATGCCACTTATCAGTGGTAGTAGACTCCAGAATCTCACCAGTGCGATTACCAACAAAAACCGGTAGTTTATTACAGGAATTAAGCCACTGAAGAACAGTGGTACTATCTGTCCACATGAAAATATCCGTAACTTTGAAAGTAAGACCTTTCAAAAATTTCTTTTTTTTTAAGCGGGATGCAAGAAGAACCGCTTGAAGCTCTAACTTTGGAATAGATAGCGCTTTCATAGATACAACGCGGGCTTTGCCAAACACAAAGACTAATTCGGTCTGATGCGAGCTAGCGCGATTACCAACAAAAACCGGTAGTTTATTACAGGAATTAAGCCACTGAAGAACAGTGGTACTATCTGTCCACATGAAAATATCCGTAACTTTGAAAGTAAGACCTTTCAAAAATTTCTTTTTTTTTAAGCGGGATGCAAGAAGAACCGCTTGAAGCTCTAACTTTGGAATAGATAGCGCTTTCATAGATACAACGCGGGCTTTGCCAAACACAAAGACTAATTCGGTCTGATGCGAGCTAGCAAGTCGCGCATGAAGGAAAGCGACGGCACAGAAAACATCCTGCGAACTATCACCGAACATGTGAAGTTCTATTCGGTCGAAAGGGTCAGTGAAATAGCTGCGAGGTATTGTCAGAGAACCTAACAAATGAAGACCTGAGTGCCACTCAAGGAACTGCTTTTTGTTTTTCTCTGGCAGATCATCGTCTCATTTTTGATCGCTGATTCGCCAGATATCTTTTAATAGAAGGCGAGCCTTCACGGTATACTGAGCCACTAGTCCAATTGGATCAAAAACAGAGGAAACAAAACTCAACACGGTACGCTGGGTGATTGCTTTGTCTAATGGACGATCAAGCCCTCTACTAACGACTAAGGTATCTTTAACGTGATCCCACTTAAGACCGAGAACATGCAACGACTGGTCTGGACTCGTACGAATATCTTTAACACAGGAATTGGACTCACGGTTTTCCGGATCAAGAGCGGTTGTTATATCGAATTTTGTCAGATGAAACCCACCTAGTTTAGGCAACGAGACTAAATCCCTACCTAATTTCAAGCGTCATCCCTGTTTTGAAAATAATCCAGATAATCATCGATATAAAACTTCTGGACAACAGCCGAAGCAGCTTCGGGGTACTCAGCTTGATTATCCGATGCAGTCTTCTGCAAAGCAAAATTCGCACAACTCGGCGAGTCACGGGCGCCAAAAATGTGACGCGTATATTGGTGAACTACCACACTTGATGTGGGGTCCTCCCTCCACAAAAAACGATGAGAAGGTTGATCTTCTTCGCGGACTCCAACCTGTAAAAACATCCCTTCAATGTCAGCTGAAACGGCGTATTTATGCTGGCGCAAACTTAAAAGTACAAAAATGAGGTTTTGAAGGAGGTCCGGGCCAACCAACACAGATTTGTTCAAGGAAGCGCCATGACACCCCGATGCCCCCATTGAGGACTCGGCGCACCTTACCGGGTTTATTCGGGTTCAACACCGGGTGATGCGGGAGATACCACTCACGATCGGCTCGTGATTTGGCCTTAACGGTTAAGACATATCCTTTTTGTATATCTTCTCTAATTGTTTCGGCGTACTTCTCACGGAGCGACGGATCCTTATCTAGCCTCTTTTCCAAAGACTTTAATTGAGCTAAGGAGGAAAAATAGTTATTCGGTAAAGTGCTTTCATTACCGTTCCAAAGCATTGGTACAATGTACCTCTCACCATCATTAAAAGTTCCATATTTCAAAACGGACAAAGCGCGTTTGTCGGCGGCGGAACGGGCATCTACCTGCTTGAAGGCTCCATATGACTCCAACTCATACCAAGTTTTAATTTGGTCCGCAAGAGACATGTCTTCGACAACACACTTAAACCAAGACGAGTTCGAATTAAAAGACGGCAGTAACGGACCACTTAGAACCCAACCTATTGAAAAGCGTACGGCGCACGGTGAAATAGAGTCCTCCCCCAGAAGGTACTCAACGGGTCTTATGGCGTTGTAGAAATCCTGTCCAATAATCATTTCGACTTCCTCATACTTATAATGTATAGGTTTTATCGGAGCCAACTGCGGGTATTTTTCCTGTAATTCAGGAATATTTATGCTATCCGATCCAATGCGAATATGATCCTTAACAAAAGCTCGAAAAGAATCCCAACCAAATGGAGACGTTTTACAAGATCGGCGGATACCCATGAGTGCGTGGAGGCACTATCGCAAAGAGATAGGGCATTAGTAATCGTCGCATCCGAAAAGACGGCGAGTGATGCAACTGGCAGGAGGCCTTTAGTTGACTCCTGGCTATGAATATCGCCGACGGCACTGTTAGTCGATTCATGTTTAGTGTTTGCGTTACCTGACGCCGGGGAACTTTTAGTATCCTAAAGAGGAAAATTTTCTCAGCTCCATGTAAGAGCACGTTGTGCGTGCTTTCACAATCTGGCTTGGGGCAATTTCTGGCCTTGCTGCAATCACGAATATTGTGATTGCTCTGTAAACACGCAAAGCAAAGTTTTTGTTCGGCTACATGTTAATTGCAGGTGCTTGTTAAAACCTGATTAATTGATGTTGATGCAGGAAAGAACGGTGCTACAACAGAAGGAACTTCTGCAGATGTTGTTGGAGCAAAATGATTTTCAGAAGCTACCGGGACTACTGACCCTGTGTTTGGGTTGCCTAGCACTGGATGAGTGGACAAAAATGTTTGCTGAGGCAAATTATTATAAACAGGTGGAATGACCTGCTATAACCCTACTGGATTGTTAACGGAAATCTGCGATTGGACCAAAATTGACAAATTATGTCGTTGTCCGTAAATGTGGTTACTGAAATACAATCTTGGATCACTAGAAGCTGCCTGGACATTATTCACTCCTGTGAAACTTGATGAGACCATGTTGTTTGTTGATGCAGGATAAGTTTCCTCAGGAGCTGTCGAACGAACGTGCTGCTCTTGATTGGAAACTACAACAGAGTCAGGCTGATTGTGGTCAACAGATTCGACCCAGTGACGCGTACGATCCTTTTCGTCTATTGTTAGTTGTGGAGAGACTCGAGTTAAACCACTTTCCTCAGCATTCTCGCTGATTTCCGACAACTCATCCTCTAACTCAAGCCCTTTCAACTCAATTTCTGCCAGTTTTTTCCTGTGTTCTTCAGCCAATTCTTCAGCCCGGTCACTTGTCATTACAGACTCTTTGTCGACTTTTGACTCACACGTGCCGTCTGCACACTTTGTGAAGTATACACTCGTCCTGGTCGATACACTCGATTTCGTAATCGTGGCTGAGATACTCGCTTTTCTCCGATTAAATGTTGTGTGTCAGAGGCTGGGATGGGCACACTAGATTTCGTAATCGTGGCTGGGATACTCGCTACTGAACATATGTGTGTCCCTTGTGGGGTGCCAAAATGTGCGTGTCAATCTCCACACTTCGTGAAAAATCAATTTTTAAACACTTGAATCAACGAGTATTTTATCGGCAAAATAACTCCGGAAATTTGAAAACATAACAATAATTTTTAACAAACTTTATCATCGGTAACATCGGTAACATCGGCCATAAACATCTGCATAGCTCAAAGCAAGCTGCAAAAATGGCCAGTATTTGTCCTTGAGATAAATTGCTCTTTTCAAAGATCAGCCTTAATCAAGGCTGAACCAAATTAGAGCAAAAAGACGGTTAAAATAGGTTTTGGAGGGTTCGAACCTGGTTACGGAGCGTCCCATCAAGTTCGGGGCATATTTGAGCTCTAGAAAGGAAATGACCTAGTCGGGATTCCAACCGGCGCCGAACCCGCCGGGACGCACCCTTTATACGCTTGGCTACTGTCCCTATATGCATTTACATTTTGGTTCAATTCTATACTCTCATGCATTTACATTTATATACATTTATACTCTCGCTTACATTTGCGCTACAACATATTGGATATTGCAAAATTTTTTAAAGAAAATTCTCCATGGGTAGGAATTGTCGGAAAGTGATCCACAGAATAATCACTTGCGATGCTTGCTATGGTACTAATAGAAGGAAATTAATATATGGAGAAATTTTACTGATCGGAAAACAACGAATCAAGAAATACGAATTTACCGGAATGATTACTTTTTTGCTATTGTCAAGCGGAAAGAGGAAAAGTAGCAGTTTTGGGGCGCAAAGCAAATCACTCTAACTTGTATATGCATGTTCTGGAATGTCATTCCTCGGCTACTTTAAGCCGACAATCGGGTTAATCGGAAACGACAAAATGAACTACGTCCTTGCAATTCTTATGCCATATTATTAGATAGTTATTACAAAAATTAGGATATTTGACATGGCGGATTTTCGAAGTATCGGATGTTTGCCCAAGACCCGGAAAGAACTTGGAAAAAAGGTTAAAAAGTTATAATAGCGTACCTGCATGCGATCCACATCTAGCCACACTTTGATTCCACTCTTCTGCAGGTTGTTTCTCAGTTTCAGAGCAACACTCTGCTGCGACCACGAGTAGCTGATCATTATGTGTTTAGGACTGTCGTCTATGAGTATCATCGGCGCAATGTCCTTGCCTATTATCTCGTCAATATCTTCCACACTTACGCTAAAAAAATTTAGTCAATTAACAAACTTAACAACAAGGATAGCCGGCTACTGTGCAAGTAGCACAGAATGTTCCGACTATATTCTTTCCGACTAGCTACATAAAAATTTTTCATGTTTTTTTTTCCAATAAGTGTTGTTCTTTTTGTGCGTGGTGTGACGAAAACCTAAAAATTAGGCATTTTGAGAACTGCAGTAAATAGAGCAAATCGTGCAACAAAAACAGTTAAAAATTTTGGTTACAAACGCATCAGAATCAACAAAAATAAACTTATCAACTTTTCCGATCCATGGGAATCATCGTCGCTTTCGGTCAAGGAGAGGAGTTTTGGCTGAATTGGATCGCGTACTGCCTCACTTGTTTTGGTGATCACATCTAGAGATTCCACCGTTACTGGAGATGGTCGAGCTGGTTCAACTGAACTTGCAATAGGAACCAAGTGCAACTTGTCTTCCGATCCACGGGAGTCATCGTCGCTTTCGGTCAAGGAGAGGAGTTTTGGCTGAATTGGATCGCGTACTGCCTCACTTGTTTTGGTGATCACATCTAGAGATTCCACCGTTACTGGAGATGGTCGAGCTGGTTCAACTGAACTTGCAATAGGAACCAAGTGCAACTTGTCTTCCGATCCACGGGAGTCATCGTCGCTTTCGGTCAAGGAGAGGAGTTTTGGCTGAATTGGATCGCGTACTGCCTCACTTGTTTTGGTGATCACATCTAGAGATTCCACCGTTACTGGAGATGGTCGAGCTGGTTCAACTGAACTTGCAATAGGAACCAAGTGCAACTTGTCTTCCGATCCACGGGAGTCATCGTCGCTTTCGGTCAAGGAGAGGAGTTTTGGCTGAATTGGATCGCGTACTGCCTCACTTGTTTTGGTGATCACATCTAGAGATTCCACCGTTACTGGAGATGGTCGAGCTGGTTCAACTGAACTTGCAATAGGAACCAAGTGCAACTTGTCTTCCGATCCACGGGAGTCATCGTCGCTTTCGGTCAAGGAGAGGAGTTTTGGCTGAATTGGATCGCGTACTGCCTCACTTGTTTTGGTGATCACATCTAGAGATTCCACCGTTACTGGAGATGGTCGAGCTGGTTCAACTGAGCTTGCAATAGGAATCAAGTGCAGCTTCTCTTCTTGAAAAACAACAATTTTTTCCCTTTTACCAGAAATGAGGGAGGGTAGACTGTTGCGTTGTTTAAAAAAATAACTTGCAGTAACCATGCTTTAATCGCCCATCGGCCATGCTTTGCCTGCCATTTCACTAAATCAAATAAGCTTTCGCAAAAATGTGTTTTTCCCAAAATTAATGATTGTAAAAAAAACTTTTTGAACATTCAAACAAATTACACCCTAAAAACTTTCGGAATAATTTTTATGAAAACCGATTTATATAAGAACAGACAAATCAACAGACAACTGGAAAAGATTAATTTCATCAAATACAAAAAATAACTTTTTTGAGTTTTGAATTTTAAGCATTTGTCACCTTGAAGTTCTTTATGTTTGATTATTTTTTCATTATTGACTCTTCTGATTAAATTAACCAGTACTAGCACAAACTGCAGGATCCTGGAATCCGGAGACAAGCCTTGGAACAATATCAAGAGTAAGTGGAACAAAATTTCTCGTATTAGGGCGAATCCCTGAATGTTCCGGCTGCCCTTTAAGGTCTATGGAGCAGTGTTTGCCTTATCAAAATTGATGGATGTTTCAAAAAAACAGAATTTTTTTTTAATTTGAGATTTTTTTGAAAATTATCTTCCCACACGCCATTTGAGTTACAAAGTGACAGACTTCGCTCGTAGTAACAAAAGAATTGCGGCAAATAGACAGCTTCAATCAATGTGGAGCGAGTTTTAAAATAGATTAAATCTCCGCTTGTGCGTTGAAAGCGCGAAGTTTATCACGCGCTATTAGTCCCAAATTGGCCAAAATGGCAACCTTTAGACCCCATTAACTTTACAAAAAACAAGCACAGCTGAAATATATATTTTTTAAATTTGAGCTAAAAAAAACAATAGTTTTCAATTGATATAGAAAAAAGACCGTCAAAAATTGCTAGACAAAAGTTCGAAATAAGTCTGCAGAAAAAAAACAACCAAGAGCACAAATAATCCGTCACTGTCTTCAAAAAGGGAAGAAAAAAAACAGAACCCACAAGCAAAACTGTTGATGTAAAATTGGTCCGCATACAAATAGCTGATTTGTAATCCAGAAATAGCTGATTTGTAATGAATACAACACTCGAAAGTGGATGCTGCAAATTTTTTACAGACTTCAACTTTGTATGATTGAGAGCTAAGCACCGACGTGAAAACATTAGGCTTCAAATAAAAGCAAGTGCGGAACAATTAAGATTATTGAACAACTAAGAGCTAGTTCAATATATAGTGCGGTAATTAAGGACGAGGTGTTCAGTAAAACCCAACAAGGCTGCTCATATATCAGGGCGAAGCCCTGAATGTTCAATTATGTCCTTAGTCCATATTGAATAGTTTTTGGGAAAAGAAAATACTGAAATACATATATCAAAGAACAAGTGCAAAAATTTGAGTTGCACGAACCCGGGTTGACCTCCATAGACCGATAATGCTTATCAAATTTTCTTGTTTTGGCGTAAAATTCGGTGTATTGGAGTAAATAAAAAAGAAAAACTTTTTGTTAAAAAAAGCTGATCATTTATTTTCCATATATGGAAATTGTCTGACTAGCATTTTTTTTTTGATGGCGACAAAAATAACTTTTTGAAATTGCAAGATTAGCAGTTTTGAAATTACCCCAAAAAAAGTTTTTTTTTTCAACCGCAAATGAAATTTTGTACTAAAAAAAATCCAAAAAAAATTTTTTGCATTCCGTATTATCATTTTTTGTGCGCCTAACGTCCCGTAATATTTTTTTAGGAAACGCTAAAAACTTTGTATGGCTTGTCATATAACTTTAATATATAATAAACAAGTACTTGTCATATAATTTTAATTTATAGAAAAAAGAATAGCATAGAGATTTCATACAGATTTCTGTACGTATGCTTTCGTATGGAATTGTATGGCAAGAGGTTTTTAATATATGGAAATTGTACGATACGAAGTTTTGGTCAACCCGGGAAGTTGGAACGATGGATTGGCTATAGCCTCATTTCAATTCAGAACGCTTTTGTTGTGTGGGGTTATTTGCCACAAATAAATAATTCGCATTTTGATTTCCACATTCTAAATAAAATGCTCCAATTGCACATAAATTAGTACAGAACATGTCAAGTTGGCAATTTTTAAACTCGCAGAACATTGCAAAAATGATCAGAGGTGTAATATCATTTTTTATTTGATTTCAAGGATTCGATATCTTCAATGTGATATCGAAATTTTTTGTTAAAAATTGTTATTTCAATCGCTGAGTTTGGGTATTCGAGAACAAACTTAAACAAATTTTAAATCAATGAATTTGATTTAAACTTATCAATAGTCTTGAAAAAAAGCGTTTCAACTACTATGAACAGAGTGAAAATCAAAAGAGTAGGAACCAAAACAATCACATCGCGAAAAATCAATTTTGAGCGTCAACAAGTTCAAAGACGTGTTCATTGAAAAAAAAACATACAATCTATATTTAAATGCCTTTGTTTTGTTCCTTAACTAGTTTGTAACTGTTCGTTCGTTTTTAGCACAGTAATTTTCAAACTGATGGAAAAAACTCCTCTTTCATTTTTAATTATTCATTCTCAAAATTTTAAGAAAACTGTAGTTTTTATTATTATTTACGGTTTGCTAAAGACCAAGTGATGTGTATCATAAAAATGTGCACTCTCGGTGTCAAATAATTGGCTTCGAATCACTGGTTTCTGCTGTACTTTGATTGCGATAAGTCAAAATTCAAATTTTAAGACTTAGATTCAATTACCGGTGCCCACATATGCGCTTCTCGGTAGTCCTGGAGGAGGTGCATCTGCGCCTGTAGACATAGGAGGAGGTGGGGGTGGAGGAATTGAGCTTGTTTGCGGGACTGAGGATGGAGCTGGTCTGTGTGATTGTCGGATCGGAACGAGATGTCTTTTGTCCCGTATCAGTTCTGGACTCTCTTCGCGCACCGCTTTGACTATGTTCGGTTCTTCGTCTTGAAATGAAAATCTATTTTTCCAGTACGAACTGTGTTTAAGCGATTTACTAATTGCCTTTTAAGTTTTCTCAATGTTTAACAAAAAAATATTTCAAGTAAGCGTTGCAAAGTAAGCGTTTACTGCTCAAAAGTGGAGGTCATAAAAAGTTTGGACCGTCTGGTGGTCATATAGTTCATTCGTTTGGTGGGGGGGGGGGGGGGGGGTTAGGAGATGGGTCTGGCTAGATATTCGAATCTGCGACTGGAATAGAAATTCGCAAATATACAAACAGACGAGCCTTACCGTTCTCCGAAAATTTGCCCGCTTCCGAATCCATTCGTTTTATGTCATCCAATACCTCACTCATATTTACATTCCGTACGTGTCTCATTTTAGTCTTCATCTTTTTCGGCGTTTGTCTTTTCTTTTTAATGTATTCATCTGGTTTTTCGCATTTTTCAATGGCTTCTTTCACACCTAACATAAAATCTAAACTACAGTTTTAAAAAGAAAATGTTGATTTGAAATATATTGAAGCTGGCCGATAAAAGCAAAAGGCTCCCTTTTAACTCCCTTTTAACTCCCTTTTAAAAACAGGAACCAAGGGTGAACTTTCTCGAGGGTGGGGGATCGGATTTTCAAAAATTGACAAACTTCCTGTTAGGTCGACTAAAATGTTTTTCCGAGGCCTCTTTAAAACACAATAATAATTTTGGGCCGTTAATAACGGACGTTTTTGGGCAAATTTCAAGGCCGGTCGACCGAAAACCGATGTTGTAAAATAGTTTAAAATGAGACCCTTTGGTCGGTAAGGGTTCAAATCCCTGAGGGGAGAAAAATCACACCCCCCCCCCCCCCCCCATTTACATCCTCCAACTGGAAATACTAGTTGAAAAACGTGTCAAACTTTTGATTACTTCGTTCTTACCTTTTTTGCTTCTTACCTTTTTTGTTCATCGTCTTCATCTTCGCTGTTCTCATTCTGGTGGCCAATAGCATCATCTTAGTTTCCATCCACAACTGCCACATGATGTTCTTCCCGATCTCCTCCATTTCTCGATCATAGTCGCTGCTACCACTGCACTCTTCGCCACTCATCGCCTAAAATTAGATGAAACAATTTATAAAACATCTTAGTTTTTGAGAAATCATAGTCTCAAAAATTATTGAGCTCTTGATAACATATCTTTGAAAGTACCTCACAATATCTCGACCTAAAAAATTCAGGCCACTGCACCTGTTGCAACGCAAATGTAGAGTATAGATGCAAATATAAAAGAAGAGTATAATTACCTATAAAACAAGCTTTAATTGCCGAGCGGCCTAAGCTAACGTAACGCGACCTATATGTGTGACATAGAAGTTGAAGTAGGTTCGAGCCCCACACTTACCCATGTATTAATATAGTAAAAACGGGGTTTATATCCTATTTTAACTGTTTTTTGGTTCTAATTCGGTTCAGCCTTAATTAAGGCTGACCGCCAAAAAGAGCAATGTGTCTCAAGGACATTACCGACCGGTTCTTGTGGCTAGCTTGCGCCAATTTTTACCGAAACAAGCTGATTAATCAAGTTATATGATTTTATGCTTGACCAAAAAATATGATGAATTATTGAGTGGCCGAGAATTTTTGCCGATAAATACTCTTTATAATTCAAGCAATCGACTACATAGTTTTTTACCAACTTGCGGAGATTGAGCGATCATTTTTTGGCGCACCACAGGGGACCTTTCGTCATAATTCGACGGAACCTTTTGTAATTGTCAATCGGGTCAACTCAGTGGAATACCCTAAATTTATCAATACTTTCACTTTGCTAATCATTTCTTCTCTTGGATATCTCCAAACAATATAATAAACAGTTTGTTTGACATCGAATACCGACCAGAGTACAATTTTCCCGTATAGACCAGACGTGAAAGTAGACGACTACTTGGACACGGAGATCAGGTCCTCAACTGCTGTGCCAGGCATCAGATCCTCACATATATTAGACCTACATCCAAAATAAATATCACAACCACATCAGCCTAGCCGCACTGACAGAAATGTGCGGGTACAAGACAGTCAATTAGTCAACATATCAATTCACTCGATCATTTTCAGAGTAAGCAAGTGCTGCAGAAAGAGAACCAGAATCAGTCCACGCTGGATGTAAATGAAGTGAGGAGAGGAAGGGCCATAGCAACCGAGGCGGAAGCAGCAGTCACAGAACAGAACTGCAGTACGACAGAGGCCCTCATACAGGTGTCAAGTGCAACCAAAAAAGTTTTGGTGAAACTGAAAGCCAGTTCGCTTCAACTAAATCAAAACTGTTTCTCCCGCCCGATTTTTTTGACTTCGTTGCGTGACAGTAATGTTAAGTGGTCAGGTACGGTGGTATTAGGTGATTTAAGTTGAATTCTTTCAACCTCAGGTTTACTCCGTGTGTGTTGTTGGAGTTCAACCGACCTAATTATTTTTCCAATCCCATTGGTACTCAAGCGTAACATAGCCGTCGCATAGGTCCCCTAAGTGTATGGTATTCATTCTATAGTTCCTTGGATCACAAGCTCCGAAAACTTCCCGCTCCGTCCCAGAAGCGCGTCAAAGATGATTGCTTTACAAAGCCAGGTTTAAGTTTGAACTTCAACGCTAGGGACTCCCAGAAAACAATACAGTACTACGTTCATCACTACTTGTCTCACCATAACGAACTTGTAATTTGGCACGACGCCATTAATAACTAGATAGGCACCGCAGCAACAATAACCGTAAGCTGAGTAGTGAGCAACTTGTCAATTTGTTATTGAGGTATAGGACAAACATTTGTGCAATCGTATACTGTAGACGTAACGGAACCGAGGATATAGCGGAAAATTTAGTTTCAACAGGTATTCTCGTTCTGAAAGACTTCATCTCTAAGCGTAAGGCTAAGGACCAGGTACTAATTGAGAAGTGAAAAGAGCTTCACCAGCCTCCTTCCCTTGAGTTAAAGACTCTCCTCCATCAAAGCTATAAAAAATAGGCTTCAGGCAGAAGCTTTGAGACGTCAAGTTCACCCATTTTGCAAACTAAGGTTGATATATTAAGGCCAATTTAACTATGTATCAAAACAGTATCTCATTTTATTGATTGTTTTCGATAAGTGAGCATCCGTAGAACATTGTCAATTTGTGAAAAACATGGACAAAAAATTCCAGAGTAAGATACGCAAGTTATTTGAAACCCGTCTAAATCTAGAAAATGAGCTTCTTAAAGGTCACTCATTATTACTTGAGTACATTGAGAACAATAGTCGCACCGCAAAAATTGATAATGCTGTTCACAAATAAAAAATTGCTTTGGAAAAAGCTGTTGTCGTCAATGAGCACTTAAATAAATTAGCGGGAAAAACGGAAAATCCTGGAAAAATTGTTGCTCAGCAAGAACACTAGCTTAAGAAAGTAACCGAAATGAAAGATAAAGTAATGCATGAAGCTCAGAGTTACAAGATGAGCCTTGAACCTTCGTCATTCCCAGCACCTGGCATTACAGGGAGCAAGGAATCTTTGCAACAAATTAGGTCTGAGACATCCTCATGCTCGCACAAAACAAGAGATTCGGAAGCACGAGTATCTGAAAACAGGTCTAAGGTCACTGATAAGTCTAAGAAAGTAGACAACGTGAGTCACATAAGTCTGATAAATCTGCTTCCACTCGTCATACCTCGACTGCTCACACTATGTCATCAAGTGAGAAACGGCATGAGTTAGCTTTGGTAAAACGACGCCACGAGGAGCTGGAAAGGCAGTATCAGGTATCTATAAGACTTAAAGAGCAGGAGAACCGTCCTAAGTTCAAAAAAAGTCAGCTGGAGCTAAAGCATTTGGCTGAAAGTCATAAAAAGCAACTGATTGAAATGGAAATGAAAGCGTTTGAACTCGAGAACAGTTCATCTGAGGTTAGCGAGAATGCAGTGGAAAGCCACTCGACAGGAGTAAATCAACCTATTTCAAAAGTAGCAACCGATCGAACTAATGATTGGGTAGACTCTGTTAGTTCACAGGCACCTCCTGACGGTGCTGTTGCGCCAGGTTTGCTGGCCTTCACTCCTGTAACCCTTTCGTCAGAGCCGACGACTTCCGCCATCTTAGCTCAAGCAATTCATACCAGTAATAGTCATCACCATGAGCACACAGCATTGAGTGACCCTGGAATCTATAGTTATGTTATCGGGCTATGCCTCAATTTGGCAGTGCAAGCTTTTTGCCATTGCAAGCTTCTGTTCCATCTGTTTCATTACCAGTTAACAATATGCACTCTAGTGCACACGTGTTACCAACACCGTCTGCGGTTCCTTTACAGACCATGATTTCAAACATAACTAATGGTAGTTTAGCCATCGGGCAACCGGAATCATTACCTGTCCCAATGTTACCGGCACAAACCGGTTCTGGTTTTGTTTCTTTGTCACCTGCATTTGCTTGTGGTGGCTTCTCATCTTCTGGAGTAAACCCATCGCCGGTTTTCTTTTCGGCACCTGATTGCCATGCAGCGCCACATCAGACGCAACATAGCTATCCCTTTGTACCGCATACTGTGTCACCCAACATCAACGATTATTACACAAGTGATACAAACTTATGGCGATTGGCAGCTACAACTACAATAGTCACACCCGTTCAGTGTTATAATGCTGGAGGCATTTTTTATAATGTGACAACTGTTGTCCCACCGTGTAAAACCGCCGCCCCGTATACTAGTGGAGGGACTGTGTATTTCAATACTCCCGCAGTTCATCCACAACATGTTCGGCATTTTGTCAATAACATTAATACTGATTATCAGCCAGTCAACGAAGACTACGGACCGCCTTCTGCTTATCCGAACCAAGGTTGTTCATCGGATCGACCTCCCTCCGCTCGTGAACTGGCGGAATTAATCATGCATAGCCGCAAAGATCATCTTCCTGAATGGAAGTTAGCCCAGTTTGACGGCAACCCGTTAAACTGGCACAAATGGTTTGGTCAGTTTAAATCCACCGATAATTCCGCTGTTCTCACAGATGATACGAAACTGACAAACTTAAAAACGCTCGTCACAGGCAAAACCAAAAACCGCAATTGCGGAATTTAGTTATAGTGGTGTCATGTACAAAGATGCACTGGCCACCTTGCAACGGAAGTTTGGGCAACCACACGCTATTGTTGGCGCGCTTCTTGACAAGCTGAGTACCTTTCCACCACTTAAGATGCACAATTCGGAAAATGTCATCAGTCTCTCCTCTGCCATATCTGCCTCGTGGCAGTTTTCAAATCAGTGTCATTCAACGATGATCTAAAGAGTGTTAACCTGTTAAACCAAGCTGTTAGTAAACTTCCGCCTAACCTCAAGGAAGCTTGGTCAATGCATACTGTTAGGCATAAGTGGCAGCGACCAACACTCTTAGATTTTAATAAGTGGTTGAAAGAAAAGGCCGAGGGGCATGAAAGATTGCGTGTACTCAACTCTAAGGCAAAAAACGAGAAACCAGTTAAACCAAAAACAACCAAAGTTTTTGCAGCCAATAACCAGGTAACTAATAAGGCTCAGGATAAGTCTAAGTTTCCGCCGTGCGTTTTGTGTAAGGGCACTCACGCATTGTGGAACTGTGCCGTTTTCAAGGAAAAGAATGCTACTCAGCGAGCAAAATACGTAGCTGGATAGAAACTTTGCTTCGCTTGCCTCAATGGCAATCATAATTTCCGGCAATGTTTTAGAGCTAAAACGTGCCCGAGGCCAGAGTGTGATAGCACACATAATGTCTTGCTCCATGAAGCCGAAAAAATATTTCCTCGGAAAATTCAAAAAAGGCTGGAACAAACAAATCCAAGGAGAATACAAACACTTCCACCCATGCCGCTGTTAGTGATGTACATGACATTGAATCTTCCAAAGGGTTGTTGCCAATTGCAACACTTGGTGTATCCTCGGATGTAACCAGTCTCCTGACGTTTGTTCTTTGTGATAGTGCATCGACTCACTCCTGGGTGTCTTCGTCACTCGTAAACCGTCTCGGCTTAGTAGGGGAGCCCGTTAACTTGTCAATTAGTGGTTTCAATTCAACCACCATTGTTGAGACTCAGAGGGTCAAGTTTACAGTTTCCTCCGAGCCGAATAAAAGTGATTTTGTATTTTCTCTCTGTGCATATGTTAAAGACAATATTCGGATTGGTTCCGAATTAATCAATATTGCTGATTTGCAGAATAAATATCCACAATTAGCACCTATTAAGCCCTCTCAATATACGTATGAAGACGTTGAAGTTATTATCGGACAAGACTACTACCACGCCGTTAGACCCATTGAGTTCATCTTGGGAGATGATAAAAACTCACCGTGTTCCGTTCGCCTACCGATAGGTTGGGTCATAAAAGGTCCGTTGTCGCCGTCCGTTAATTCTACTTCTTCGTGTTTCAAGTGTGTTGTTGAAGATTTTTCACTGACCGACCAGATAAAATCCTGGTACGAATTGGAATCTTATGGTGCTTTCAAACAAGTCGATGCCCGTTCCGCCGCGGATAAACATGCTTTATCCATCCTTAATTCTGAAACCGTTCACAATGGCGAAAGATACATTGTGCCTATGCTTTGGATTGATAGTAATGTCAGTCTACCAAACAACTATTATTCGTCACTCGCCCAATTTAAAACATTGGAGAGAAGGTTAAGTAAAGACCCTGAACTGCGCGAAAGATATGCAGACACAATTAGAGAGGACATTAGGAAAGGGTATGTCGTTACCGTCGAACCGCATGATCCAAGTAAACGTTCCGATCGCGAGTGTTTTTTTCCGCATCATCCCGTCGTAAGTTCGAATAAGCCGGGTGACGTGCGCCGAGTCCTTAATGGGGCTTCTAAGTTTCACGGCACATCCATAAATAAGTCCTTATTGGTGGGTCGGAACTACTCCAAATGTTAATTTTTGTACTTTTGTGATTCCGTCAACACAAGTACGCCGTCTCCGCGGACATAGATGGTATGTTCCTCCAGCTAGGAGTCCTCGCCCGCGATCAAGTTTCACTCCGTTTTTTGTGGCGGTAGGATACCACTTCCGATGTGGTAGTTCATCAGTACACTCGCCATATATTCGGCGCACGGGATTCGCGTACGTGAGCCAATTTCGCGTTGCGAAAAACAGCAACTGATAATATTTCCACATACCCTGAGGCCGCCTCAGTCGTGAATGAAATGGACGATTACTTGGATTCGTTCGAGAACGTTACCCACCATGCAATTAAAGGTAGCCGCAATTTGGTTTCGTTACTAAAGTTGGGAGGATTTAATTTGACTAAATTTATCAGTAATGCTGATGAAATCACTTCAACAATGAACCCCGAGGATTGCAAAACCTCGTCTTCAACCATCAGGGAAAATTGTAACGATGCGGAACAATCATCGCACTTCTTAGGTCTTAAGTGGTACCATGTGAAAGACATATTGGTTGGCAGCAGATGCGTGGATCGTCCTCTCGATAAGGCAATAACTCAACGAACCGTCTTGAGTTTTGTCTCTTCTGTATTTGACCCTGTTGGGTTAATAGCTGCATTTACTGTTAGGGCCCGTTTTTTGCTTAAAGATGTTTGGAAAATCAGTGGCCAAAGTTGGGAAGATGAATTGCCGGAAGAGATAAGAGATCCGGTCTGCACTCCGGTCTGCCTCTCTTAGGGCAATTGACTATTCCCCGTTGTTACTTCACAGAGCCTGTGGGTCAAATTGAGCTCCACATGTTCGGTGATAGCTCGCAGGACGTTTTTTAGGCGGTTGGATTTTTGCGTGCGCGACTCTCGAGTTCGCACAAAACTCAAATATCATTCAAATTTGGTAAAGCTCGCGTTGCGCCCATGGAAGCGCTATCTATACCGAAGCTAGAGCTTCAAGCTGCTCTGCTCGCCACACGATTGAAAGATGATATACTGACCGCCCTTACTGTCAGCATTAACCATGTCTAGATGTGGACAGATAGTACAACAGTTTTGCAGTGGCTAAAATTCACTGAAAAATTACCTGTATTCGTCGCTAATCGAGTCGGCGAAACCCTCGAATCGACCACTATTGATGAGTGCCACCATGTTCTGAAAGGCGATAATCCAGCTGATACCGGTACGCGGGGAATTTCTTCGGAAGCCCTCAAGGATAGCAGCTGCGTTATTGGTCCGAGCATTCTCAGGACTACTGATTAGCCGTTTATACCCGAGGAACGTGTAATCAATAAAATTCGTTTGAGGGGTCATACTTGTGATGTTGATATTTGCTTGGAGACATCATCTTCCTTCGTCACCGATGTCACATCCATCAAACATCCCGAACACGGTTTCAATTGGGAAAGTGTCAGTTCCTTTACGAGATATAAACGAGTAGTCGTTTTTATGTTGAGGATGTTGCCTTCACATAAGCATTTTTGTGGTAAGGGCTTACGAATCACTGACGCCACTGAACTTGATATTGCAGAAAGCAAACTGATTCATCTTGCTCAGATAGATCCTTCCCCGTTGAGTTAAAAACACTCACCGCTGGCAAACCTACTAAGAATAGTAGTAAAATTTCCACATACTCGCCATTTATCGGTCCCGCTGGTATCATTCGTTCCACCGGACGGATCGAGCGCTTAGTGAATAACGAGTTTGATACTAAGCACCCAGTATTACTCGACGCCCGACATACCCTAGTTCGTTTGTTGGGTCGCAGCCTCCTTCACAAGCATTTTCATCAAGGTTTAGATTACATGCGCTCCGTTTTAAATATAAAATATGCAATATTTGGGTTGCTTCGACTATCGAAAATCAATGTGTAACATGCCGTTAATGCAAAGCAAGAACCATCTAGCCAATTATGTCCGATTTACCTGTCGAACGTCTCGGATATAAGCAACCACCCTTTAATCATACGCGCGTGGATTACTTTGGACCGCTTTACGTTCCGGTTCGCAGAAGCACTGAAAAAAGATGGGGATTTCATTTTACTTGCTTCACCACCAGGGCTGTACACCTTGAGATTGTACCATCTCTGATCACCAGTTCTTGTGTCATGGGCATTGAACGGTTCATCGCGCGTCGTGGTACACCAAGCAAAATCTGGTGGGATAACGGCACGAACATCGTTGGTGCGGAAAAAGAATTACTTGCCTGCATCAAGAGCTGGAATGGCATGGCTCCGGACATTTTTGCACACAAAGGTGTTGCTTGGAAATTTAAACCGCCAGGCGCACCCCATCATGGCAGCTCCTGGGAACGCCTCGTCCTAAGCGTGAAGCGCGTGCTTTACGACATACTAAGCAGTAGGCGAGTCACCGAAGAGGTGTTAGGAACAACCTTATGCTTAAAAACACTCACCGCTGGCAAACCTATTAAGAATAGTAACAGGATTGCCACATACTCTCCGTTTATCGGTCCCGCTGATATCATTCTTTCCACCTGACGGTACTACTCTCTTGCCCGAATCGTCAAGCTAAACTACGAACAGGACGGTTGCGCCCGATCCGCCCTTGTTAAGACCGCAACCCGTGAAGTCACTCGGCCGACCGTTAAGCTCGCTCCGGTTCTTCCTTCTTCAGGGAGGGTGGAGGATGTTGCAACGCAAATGTAGAGTATAGATGCAAATAAAAAAAAGAGTATAATTGCATATATAACAAGCTTTAATGGCCGAGCGACCTAAGCTAACGTAACGCGAATTATTTGTGTGACATAACAGTTGACGTAGGTTCGAGCCCCCCACTTGCCCATGTATTAATATACTAAAAACTGGGGTTATATCCTATTTTAACTGTTTTTTGGTTCTAATTCGGTTCAACCTTGATTAAGGCTGACCGCCAAAAAGAGAAATTTGTCTCAAGGACATTACCGACCGGTTCTTGTGGCTAGCTTGCGCCGATTTGTACCGAAACAAGCTGATTATTGAAGTTATATGATGTTATGCTTGACCAAAAAATATGATGAGTTATTGAGTGGCCGAGAATATTTGCCGATAAATACTCTTTATAATTCAAGCATTCGACTTCATAGTTTTTTTGCCAACTTACGGAGATTGAGCGAGCATAGCACCACTAGTAGGTTTAAGGAGTTGGAAATGCTCTTGCTTCAATGTTTCGACCCCCTGACCATCTAACGTATCCTCCTAGGCACTATTTTGCATATCAATATTTGTACGAATGACCCAAATTTTTTTCTATTGGGACCTTCAGCGCGAATTCATGTAATTTGAAGAGCAAACGCGCGCATTTGAACCTCAATTTTTGACTAATATGTATTTTTTTAAAATTCCTAAAATCGTCTTTCTTGACTAACTTTTTCCAAAAAGTGCTCCGAGAAAGCTTTTGTGTAAAACTAATTTGATTGAATCAACAAAAAGGTTGTTAACACTTTCCAAATGCCTATTTCGAGATGAACTTAAATTTCGAGAGAAAAACTTAAATGCCTGCCCTTAACTATCAAGGCCATGAAACTATCATATCTCCTTTGAAAATTGTTCCCCGCTTTAATCCATTTCCCCTGTGGGTTCATTGGTTTCAATTTGTGCGTACCTTGATCTGATTCATTAACTCTTCGTTTTCGCAAATCAGTTTCCGATTTGGTTTGGAAAAACTCAATTCCCACACAAGCTCAGCTGCCGGGTAAGAAATATACTCCAGTTTCATGTCAAAAATTTGGGGCAAGTTTTTCAGCAGAGTTGTTTGTTGAACGAGTATGTTCGAGTTTTGCTCCGTGCGTGAAAATGTCAAAAGTGCCTTTAAAAATCCGGCACGGTAAGCCGGTTTTTTAGTCAAGCTAGTAGCAACATGTTCGATCCAAAACTGTCGAGAGTTTTGAACGGTTTCTTCCAGTTTATTAATTAAAATGGTTATAACTGGCAAATGCTCGTTGAAAACTGCTTTCGATTTGTTTTCGTCCGAATCCGCTGCGATTGAGAGCAGCAAAAGTGTAAATACTTTCATGTTTGAGCTTTCTTCAGACGAGGAAACAATTTTTGCAACTTGATTTTGGCATTTCATTTCGAAGAATGTTTGCTTCGCATCTAGAGCAACCTCAAGGATTTTACAAACTGACAGAATCAAAAATATGATCGCACTTTCTTCAATTCTATCGGTAACTTGATTGTTAAGCTGAACTTGCAATATTTCAAAAACAGTTGTCAAAGTACCATTTTCTTTGACCTGTTCGCATACTTGATCGGAATTGGTTGTCAACATAAATAATAATTTGGCAAAAAAGTACAAGTGCTCACTGGCATCTTCGCCTTTTCCGAAATGGCAAAACTTCAGCTCATATCGAATCAGTGAAAGCAAGTTCGGCTCTCGGATTATTGAACAGATGTTTCGGCTAAGAATTTCAGCATTTTCAGACTCGCTTTGTTCTTGGAGCAGTTTGAGAAGTTTTTTGCAGCTGCTTATCGCGTTTTCGGGCGATTCTATCGAAGTGAAGTCGGATAACGTTTCCTCGAACTGGAAACTAAACTGCTGTTGATTCATTTCAGAAAATGGTTTTAAACTCAGGGAACAAATAAATTGATGAAATTTTGATTAAGAAAAATATTACTGAACAACGCCAATATCGTTTTCTATTGGAATAAATAGAATTAACTCGCTCAAAACTTCTTGACAATTATGGTACCCTATGCGTATTTTGCTTGCAAGAAAAAGGCGAATCACATGATTATTTGATGAGCTATTTGTTGACAGTCATTTTGTCAATAGATATTCAAATCAGAACTCGTGTTGCAATTGGTGAGATGGCGTCTAGTTATTTAGTTTTCTCAAAACTAAGTTTAGGTTCAATTACCATTTTTTGACCACGAAACTTTTAAATTAGCAAATACTAGAGTTTAATTTCCCTTTAACCGAGAACTATTTGTAATTAGGCTGCCCTCTTTTTTGTATAACAGAGGACGCTCTATACTTTTATTCAACTCATATTTTTTAAATTATAGAAAAAAAAATTATTTTGTATAAAAGCCTCACATATAATTTCACTTCCGCGAGCTGCAAAGGTTCAATTTAAAGGCAAAACTTTAAAAATTAGTCAATTTATACGACTACCGATGCGCCGTTAATATTAGATGGCTTTCGAACTTGCCGGAACTGACATGAGTGAAATGACCGTCTCAACAACACCCCTCCATCGCCGGAATTGACATGGTTGAGATGACCGTCTCAACAACACCCCTCCCTCGCCGGAACTGACATGGTTGAGATGACCGTCTCAACAACACCCCTCCCTCGCCGGAACTGACATGGTTGAGATGACCGTCTCAACAACACCCCTCCCTCGCCGGAACTGACATGGTTGAGATGACCGTCTCAACAACACCCCTCCCTCGCCGGAACTGACATGAGTGAAATGACCGTCTCAACAACACCCCTCCCTCGCCGGAACTGACATGAGTGAAATGACCGTCTCAACAACACCCCTCCCTCGCCGGAACTGACATGGTTGAGATGACCGTCTCAACAACACCCCTCCCTCGCCGGAACTGACATGGTTGAGATGACCGTCTCAACAACACCCCTCCCTCGCCGGAACTGACATGGTTGAGATGACCGTCTCAACAACACCCCTCATTCGTTGAAAAAGGGGATTCGTTACTAACGATAACCCATCAAAGTAGTGTTTAGTCTTTTTACGGGTAAAAACTTTTGAACATATACTAGCGGGGTGCCCTAATGTTACAGAGCTTCAACTAAACTCTTGCGGTGGTCGCCTTTAGTTTTCGATAGCTTCTGAACAAAGACATTCATGCAATTTACTCAATGTTTTGAATGTTTTGCTGTTCAAAGTCAATTCGACGCTAGATCGGGTCATTTAACTGACTCCGCCCGAAAATCAATATTTCAACGTCTTGAAATGAAACCATTTTGCTTCAATCTGATTGACTAGAAATAACCAATCAAATATCAGCTCCATTTCAAAACGTTTTGCTGGTGGAATTCCTCATACACGCGAAATACCGAATGCGCGAAAATAAAAATCAGCCAATCAGATCTCAGTAATCTAAAATTTGGAAAGAAAGTAAACATTTCCAGTGATTGAATTTTGATATTGGCCGAATATGAAAACAACAGAAATGTACAAAATGTCACTGACCGCAACCAAATCGGAACAAATTTTTTATTTCAAGGTTTTCGTTATGAATTGCTTCATTCATATCATTTCAATTGAATGACAATTGCTTATTTTTAAAAATTGACTTTCGGCTAATTTTTTTCCGTCTTTCGCTGACTAGTTTTTTCGCCCATTCGGTCCTTTGCGCTTGAGAATAGCCCCCTGTTTTGCTCACTCCAAGTCGACTACAAATAAACCGAAATGACCGAAAATATAAATGATTGGTAAAACATTCAAACTTATTTCAAATAAGCTGAAGAGTTTTACCCAGAAAAAAAACACAGAAAATAGCTTCAGGAAAACGACTATCTTCACAAGACCAATCTTTTTAAAAGAACCCTTCTCAGCTGCTCAACTTTCTGATTTGGGGTAATCAAAACAACCAGTGCTATCAGTGTTTGTTCTCTGCTTTTATTTCTTGAATTTTTCAAATTTGCTGAAACCAGACGTATGTGCGAAAGAAGTAAAAAGACCCGCTAGGTGTCCAACAGAAGCGTTACCGAAAAACTCTTGCACTGGTGATGTACTCTTTCAAGTTTAATTAGGATATTGTTGTAGCTTAGATTCACTTAATCTATAAATACTGTTCAGGAGCAGATCTAGGACTTTTTCGAGGGGTGGCGGATTTTCAAAAAACTTTCGAAATTTTATCGACTTTTTTTTGAGCTCAACCAAATTGATTTTCCGAGAACCCACAAATCACTATAAAGACCTTATTTTGAACAAACTTCCTTCGTCGATGTCGAAATTTAGACAAAACAGGTCAAAAACAGCGTGTCAGCACTTTTTGAAAAATTTTGGTCTAAAATTTGCGGTTTTCGGTCTGCCCTCAAGATTAAAATATATTGTGGCGCCGAAGATGGACGTCTTAAATCAGTACAAAGGGACGACCCTTGGGTTCGGAAGGGTTCGAATGACTAAAAAGAGGGGAGCGTTGAAAGTGATATAAACGGATTCTCGCAAATTAGCGAAATTTATCAAATTTTCAAAGAAGTTGATTTAATTAAAGTATTTTGTTTATTTCGATGCTTCAAAAAATTTGCGTAAACAAAAAACTCCATCAGACCTACAGAGAGAATGAGTCTCTCGAGGAGTGTTAGTTAAAATATTATGTTTAAGGGATTCCCTTTCGAATTGTGCAAAGTTAAGGGCTCACGCGGTAAAGAGAAAAAACTATGCATAAAAATTTTTCGAATGTGAATTTCATTATCAACGTTCTAGTCTCAAATTTGGTGGGCAGATACCATAGAACTGAAAAGTTCAAATTCAAAATATTCATTTTTTGTGGTGCAGAAATTTTAGATACCAGTGATTCCCATAGTTTATTTTTTTTTCAGGCCAGACATCAAAACAAAAAGTCAATTGAAAAGCATATGCTAAACTTTTTCTACTATTCTCTCTACTAGTTCTCTTCTAAATTTGTGTATAATCTGTATAAAATCAGTATAAAAAAAGTCGATTTAAGTCGGGTTTAATGTTACTAAAATCCAAAAACGTTGAGAAAAGAAAAAATTAAATCGGTTTGAGTTTGATTGAAGTTGATCTTTAAGTTACATTTTTGTATCAAGCTAAATCGATTTTAAATCAAATCAAATCAATTTCTCTGAGCTTCTGCAATCGGTTTTTTAAAAGCACGGGTACGACATTACGAGGCCAAACTGTGCACTTGATACGCGCACCAATTGGTGTTTGTAGGTCTCGGAAATCCAGAGACAAGTTTTTAAACAAATTTTGTCGGAACGATCAAAAAGAACGAAAAAACAAAAGCGAAAGAAAACTAAAAAAGAGCGTCGTCCCTGTTGCGGATTACGCTTACAAGCCACAAAACACAATAATTGGCCCCATTTTTTAAATAGGATGAAGAATTTTGCGCGTTAGTTTAATCAGATTGGCCAAGTTGCCAGTTTTCAAACCAATTGAATTAAACAAAACCTGACCGCATGGATATTTGTTTTAAATTTCATCTCGAGACAGCCTTAGTTTCAAAATGATGTCTAAATGTCTAGTCAGAAAGGCTATTTACCAAGTCTTAAAAAAGCGGTTTTGAAAATTGTCAGTTTGGGATAAATCAGAACGGTATAATTCCAATATTAAAGTTCTTTCAATTAAACTCAATTTTCTTGTGACTACGGCTCAAAACAAGGATAGTCGGTTGATGTGCAAGTAGCACATATTTTTCCGACCACAAATTTTAAAAAAATACAACAAATCCTTCTCAAATTGGTGTCGTTTTTTGCATGTTGTGATATAAAAATCTGAGAAAAAAAATATAATTTAGGCATGTTTGAGAGTCATAGTAAAATAGTTCAATTGTAAAACAGTTATTAGAGACTATAGTAAAATTAAGTTTTCAGGTCGTAAATTCAGCTTGAATAAACTATTATGAGCCTATATGATCAACTTATTAGCTCGAAATTGACCCAAAAACTAGGAGTTTCAAACCGTTTTTTTTTTCGACAACGTGAAAAAGTTTTCGAAAATTATAAATGTCTTGAATTATGACTGAACTGGTTTTAATGAGATTTTAAATTTTCCGATCAATTTCAATGACTATTTGTTGTACCTGATTTTTGGTGCAAAAAAGCACACATGGAATACGAAGTTCCTCCTCATTTTCAATGGTTGGAACAAAAAGGGGGACAAAATATTAATTTTTATTTTTTTTTGTGTTTTTCTCGAAATAATTTTTTATCGGAACGCCAAAAAGCAGGTCCAATTTCCGGAGCATAAACTTGATACGTGGTGCTTTGATTTGCTTAATAGTACTGTGTGAGCACTCTCGAGAAAGTTAAAATCAATAAGGTAATATGTTGTTGCGTGCCCTCACCTCATATGCTTCTAACAAAAAAGTATGTTGGCAAATCTGCTGGGTTAACTTCTTAGCCATCACTGCAAAATTTTGATTCTGCTGCTCGGTCGATTTAGAATCAAGAGGATGACAAAACCCAGTGCTCTACTGCGCTAAGATCCATCCTTAGCAAGTTGTACAAACTTGTGGGCAACTGGCTCGCGGAATTGATGCCGCATCAGTGTGGCGTCGTCTCATGCTTTCATATGGGATTTCTAGCTTAAAGTTTTGCGAGTGACTCAGTTTTCAGTTCAAATAGCTTAAAGTTTTGTGAGTGACTAATTTTTCAGTTCAAATTTCAAAAGTTCTGATTTCGAAGGATTCGTGTAGTGCCCCACTGGCTCGTGATTCAGGCTAGCCTGTCTGAGAGCAAACTTCTCTGCGTTTGTCGGTCGGCTGAAATTTCCAGTCTCCAACCTCGCACACTTAATTCGCTCTTTTTGTTGAGTCTGAATATACTTGTTGACAGTTCCCACTGAAAAAGCTCCCTTTTGTTGTGTAACCTTAGCCTGCTAGGTTAAATACAGAGCTGACTCTAAAGTTTCTGTATCTTTGATTCTCCGCTCGGTAATTCTC